AGATTGAGATTCTTTCCAAGGATGCGGGGTTGTTAGGGATGAAGCTTGGGGATAGGGAAGCTTCAAAGGTTACTGAGTTGTTGCAGAGGGATCTCGAGGTATGACTATACACTTGTTCAGTTTGTGGCCACTACTTACAACGAAATAGCATCATCATGTCTTTTTTAATGCATCTGGATTCCATGATCATGTAAGTCAATCACCGTCTTTCAATATCTACAACTTGCTAACATCTCAGATCGTTCATCATGTCCTCACCCTATACGGCACAGGCGCTTCCACCAAGGACATGGACATGGCCTACGATGCAAACAAAGGCTACCAGCTCAAAGCCATGAAACCTAAGCAAGAAATGGTTGACAACCTAGAACACGGTTCCGACTGGTCAACCTATCTCGGAAAGGGCCGTAACTATGCTGCCTTTTTGCGCTTCTTCCAAGATGAGATTCAGAGGGCTGGCTGGCAAGAGGTTCTGAATGAGTATCTCTTCAAGAACGATGACCGTGGACGTGACATGAAGAGTCGTCTGTTTGGAGGGTTGCTTCATCCTCTTATTCAAATGCTCTACGCTATTGAATGGGAACAGCCCATGCTTGTTGCTTCAGCTCTCGCACAGACGGCAGTCCACGAGAATAAACTCCACGACTTTCTCACAACCGCAGCAGCAAAGGCAAAAGCTGACGATGCACCCCCCAAGATGGGCACCATCCTCGGTCTCTTTGACGAAATCAACAGCAACGAGAAGACAAGGAGCAGTGCTCGCTGGAACGACTCGCAGCCCATGTTTCAAGGTGTGCTCGGGCGTGCTAAGGATGAGATGGCTGTACTGGCTACTAGGGTGAGGGTGGAGGAGGATGAGGTAGAAGAGAGGACGGCTGAGATGGCGCATACTGCTGCGTACATGACCGTGGGAGCAGCTTTTCATCCTCCTCACACACCCAAGTTTGACTTTTTCCTCATGTAAGCTGTCTTTCAACCTACATCGAATCCATACTGACATGCACAGGCACCACGTCACATCAACCCCCTTTTTCCTCTCTCTCAACGCTAAATCCTGGATCCCAGCCTCAACCAAAGCGCAACTCCTCGAGTACAAGATCCGCATGGATCTCCTAACGTACGCCGCCCGCGGCTGTCCAACCCTCCACGGCGACTTGCTCCGCACGTACACTCCCAGAGACGGCAAGCTGGCCGACAAGATGGAGGATCTTCTCCCACGGATCCACAAGATTGTGGATGATGGGCACACGGTCAAGTTGGCGAGGGCCCTAATATTGGCAAAGCGGACGACAGAGCCGTTTGAGGATAAAGAGTGGGTGAAGATCAAGGGGGATGAGTGGTTGAGGGCGATGCATTTGTTACTGGATGCGAATGAGAATGGCGGGACTATGTGGGTTAGGGGAGCTGGTTTTGATCAAGCCTGGGATGGCATTCCCAAGGCCAAGATGTAGGATAGTAACGAAAAGGAGACTAGGAAACACAATTTTGTACGATATTCGTGGGTATTAGCAACCATATTTACTGTCTATTCTAAACCAACCCATCCGTCAGATCCCTCATCAGACTCCTCACCTCCATCAACAGCCATGAGCTTCACCTCTACATCTGGAGCACCCAGCGTCTTGACCGTCTTTTTCTCCTGGGCCTGACCCAGTAGATAGTCAACCATGTAAACGTTTTCATCCGCAAGCCGCCTGATCTCATCCCTCATCTTGGACACAGCCCTGGCCACGACACGCAGCTCGACGTCAGCCTTTGCGCGGTTCGCAGAAAGCCAGGCGCCGTGCTTGTCGACGATGGCCTTGATCCAGACGAGGCAGAACTCAATGTGTGGCGACTCCTCCGTCTGGGCGGCCACGAAGCGGAGTAGACGTGACACGTAGATGGTGGGGAGGTCGGCCACGACGAGGGAGATTTCTGTGGCCGGGGTGGCTTGGAAGACACGCTTGATGAGACCGGCTTCGTTGAGGCGGAAGGCCATGACCAGAGCCTTGAGGTAGTCCTGCTCCGTCTCGAGCACGGCGAGCGTCGAGGCGGGCGTGATCTCCATGTTAAGGTCAAAGGGATCGAACTGGAGATCCTGGTCTAGGCTGTAGATGAGCAGACCCTCGGTGGAAGCCGCGCAGAATGCTGTGCCCGTTGGAGAGAAGCCGATGCCCGTGACGCGGACCTCGGGCATCTTCTTCCTTGCCGAGGGGTCGCCACCGCGTTTTGAACCTGGCAGAGAGCTGTCGACGCGGTCTTCACGATCAGAAGCCTCCTCATCGTCCAAATCGCCAGCAGGACCGGCTTCCGTCATCAGCTTGCTGTTGAGGAACTCTTGGGTGCCCGAGAGAGACAAGTTGACGCTGACAGTAAACTTCTTGAGCAGCACCATGGTGGTCACCGAGTACAAGCAAATGTACTTGCTGTTACCACCAGCCAGGAGACAACTTCCGTCAGTGCTGTAACGGATTGTGTTAAAGCTCTTGGTGCCTGCCATGTTGGCCGCCGTCCGTCGGTCCGTGAGCTTACGTCCACCAGACACATCTCTTCGTCCGTCTAGGCCAGAAACTTGCTCAGCATCCGTCATTGACCAGAACGACAATTGGCCATCTAGTGTTGAGATGGCGAGCTGCAGAGAATCCGGCCGGATAGCCATGTCGAGAACATCAGCCTGAAGCTGTAGAGGTTCGCTGGTTTGCGTTCGGTTGAAGATGGACCAGATACGGGCTGTTCGGTCCCAAGAACCACTGACAAGAGACGAACCGTTGGGTGCAAATGCCAGAGATGAGACGGGACCTTCATGGCCTGAGAGCTGGTCAAGTAATTGACCCGTCTGGACAGACCAGATGTGAATGTCGAACGAGTCAAGAGAACCAGCAGCAACGACTTCACCACTGGGGTCAACCGCCATACACGAGAAAGACAGCCTTGTAGGGGCCGTAAACGTGCGGAAGTTTCGGTACCGAATAAGATCCCATGCTCGAATAGAACCGTCCAGACTTGATGTGAAGAGAACGTTGCCCTTTTTCGCAAACTCGCATGCCGTAACGCCGCTGGTGTGTTCGGTAAATGTGACGATACAGAATCCAGACTGAATATCCCAGACCTTGATCTTGCCATCATCAGCGGTGGTGATAATGCGCTGTCCATCAGGCGAGTAGACAAGCGAATTCATCGAATCAAAGTGTCCTTGTTGCTTAAGGATATAAGACTCGGATTGCCATTCCCACACCAGCAATTGACCCAACTTGGACGCACCAAATGCCAACCATTCACCGCTCTTGTTGATAGTAACAAAGTCGATATCATTCTGAGAGATGCTCAGCTTGTGGATGTTGTTAAAGTCGGGCATCTCGTAAAGTCCAAACAGACCATTCGAGAATCCAGCAACCAAGAGGTTAGTTTCTGGATGGAAAGAAGCGCATCGCACATGGGCGCTTCCCTGCATGAAGAAATGCTTCTGAACGATGCGCCATTGCATATCGGAATCGTCGTCCTCGTCCATCTTGTCGTCCTCTGCGATGCGATTGATGGGTTTCACATATTGCCAGTCAAAGACGGCGCCATCCTTGCTGACGGTGTAAATGGTCTCCTGGTTCTCAGCGAACCAGGCGCCAATCACAGACTGCTTGTGACCTGAGAGAACCGTGGGAATGAAACCCTCCTCAGGGTTCAAGCTCCATATCCGAGCGGTAAGATCCTTGGACGTTGTGAGAAAGAATCGAGAGTCGCTCGACCACTCAATATTCGTCACAGTATCGAAATGGCCGGTGTGTCTATGGTGTCGAACAAAGGGAGCGAACTCGAGTTCACCGTCCTCAGAAGTATCAGGTGTAGAGGGAACATGCCAGACCTCGATCTTGCGTCCAAGACCCACGGCAAAGTGTCGACCCGATGGCGAAAAGGAAAGCGCTGTGACGGATGATCGGAACGAGAAGTGGTATATAGATATGCGACGAGGCACATTGGTCAGGATTGCATGTCCATCCTCGTCAACGGAGAGGAGCAGGTTGCCGCGGGGTGTAAGTCCAATTCGGGCAATGTTCTTGCGGTGCGCGAAGGGAAGGGTGTAAGACTTGTTCCTGTAGTGGAAGAGTCAGCGAAGTCCCAAAACCATTATATGCGATTCAGGTAGGGAAACCTACTCTACCAAGTTAAACACAGTGACCCTGTTGCCGACAGGCGAGAAGAGGTGAGTGCCATCTGGACTGTACAGCAGGTTGCCCTGGCAGTAAACAGTGCCCAGCAAGTTCGAGAACTATACTGCCATGTTAGTAACCATCGCATAAAACATCAATTAAGAGCAATCCCACCTTGAAGTCGGTCTTCATTATTATCGGTAAGCCAAGGCCATGATGCTGCTGAGCTTGAAGTCGCACGCCGCCAAAAAATCAACTTGCGCCTTATCGATAAGACCAAAATTTTTGGCCGTCGCAAAGAACCGGCGGGAAATTAATCCGAGGCGCCTGTCATTTCGCAGCGCTGATTAGACTAATCTATATCTAGTAAGATCACCCATTCCCCTGTGGCTGAACACGGGCTCCCGTGGCTGGGGCGCTCTATCAAACCTCTAATTGGCCAAAGCTTCAAGAAAGGGGACCGTGGCTGTTTCTCAGGCCCCTTGACAACAAACCACAAACCCCAAGAACCCCTGCTGTTTGGGCTTGTTTGGCACCTTCCCTTGCTGCCCCGTGTCCACTAGCCACCCATTTCAGCACTGTCCACTCACCGTCCACGCGGTCGCAGCCAACCAGAGGAAGGAGCCCCCCCTAAAGCGACTCCTTCCCAAAGGCCCAGGGGGGGAAACTGGAAGGGCAGGAAATTCGTTCCCCTGAAGCACGAGCTCTCCCCCAAACCTCCACCTTGCACTCGTTCGACCTTCATCGCGATATCGCCGTCGGCCGTCGTCTTTCCATTGCCTCCGCCTGCTCGCCGTGCTTCTCGCTTCGACGCCCCGTTACGAACTGTTCCTCGCCGTTTTTACCGCTGCAACTTTAGAGTAAACCACGTCCAAGATGGCTACAGCTGCTGAGAACGCCTCACCGATTGGCATTGCCAATCTCCCCAACCAGCGACACAAGATTGTCGCGAAGCGTGGTGCTAGCTTCACCATCATGGTACGCGTCTACAAGACACTGCTCGTCCATCGAGAGTTGCTGCCGTGTGCGGATATAGCTATCTCGTGGACTTCATCTTCCCCATACTGACCGCATCATGTCTAGGTTGCTGGCGAGTCTGGTCTCGGCAAGACTACCTTCATCAACACCCTCTTCTCCACCACCATCAAGAACTATGCCGACCACAAGCGCCGCCACCAGAAGCAGGTTGACAAGACCGTCGAGATCGAGATCACCAAGGCCGAGCTCGAGGAGAAGTTCTTCAAGGGTACTGCGCCCGTGACACAACACCTCTGACCGACACTCGCTAACACTGCTTGCTCCCAGTCCGACTGACCGTTATCGACACCCCTGGTTTCGGCGACTATGTCAACAACCGCGACTCTTGGATGCCCATCATCGAGTTCCTCGACGACCAGCACGAGTCTTACATGCTTCAGGAGCAGCAGCCCCGTCGCCAGGACAAGATCGATCTCCGGGTCCATGCTTGCCTGTACTTCATCCGCCCTACCGGCCACACCCTCAAGCCCCTCGACATTGAGGTCATGAAGCGCCTTTGCTCGCGCGTCAACCTGATCCCCGTCATCGCCAAGGCCGATACCCTCAGCCCTGCCGACCTGGCCAAGTTCAAGCAGAGAGTAAGTAAATAGCGATTCGCATTGACCACACCCGCTAATCAGACTGCAGATTGTCTCTGTCATTGAGGCCCAGAACATCAAGATCTACCAGCCCCCGATCGAGGAGGACGATGAGGCTGCTGCTCAGCACGCTCGCAGCCTCATGGCCGCCATGCCTTTCGCTGTCATCGGTTCCGAGAAGGACGTCAAGACTGGCGACGGCCGCATCGTCAAGGGTCGCCAGTACTCTTGGGGTGTTGCCGAGGTTGAGAACGAGGACCACTGCGACTTCAAGAAGCTCCGCTCCATCCTGATCCGAACTCACATGCTCGATCTCATCCACACCACTGAGGAGCTGCACTACGAGGCCTACCGCGCCCAGCAGATGGAGACTCGCAAGTTCGGCGAGGCCCGACCCCGAAAGCTCGACAACCCCAAGTTCAAGGAGGAAGAGGAGGCTCTCCGAAAGCGCTTCACCGAGCAGGTCAAGATCGAGGAGCAGCGCTTCCGACAATGGGAGCAGAAGCTCATCTCGGAGCGCGACCGCCTCAACAAGGATCTCGAGCAGACCCATGCTCAGATCAAGCAGCTCGAGGCCGAACTCGAGTCCATGCAGGGCAGCGCTGTCCGCAGCCACGGCCGCCGCTAAGCGCAACCTGGCGGATGGTTATGCGTGCATGCGTGGCTGCAGTTGGACAGTCGTTTTTTCATGCTTCTTTTATTTGTGGCTCCAGTTTGGGGTTTGGAGTTGAAAATGAAAGGTTCGAGAAATACCACACGAAGAGGAAAGGGGGACCGAGTTCATGGATATACCTGCTCGCTCTTCCTACGGAGACAAGGGGGAGTAGCCTTGCTGGGACTGTTTTCATGGCCACGGCATGGCTGTGTAGGAGTTATGATTCCCTCCCCATGATTTTGTTTGTCCCTTGGTTGCGCCGGTAGCTCACGCCAGAAGTACGAGACCCCCTTGAGCGAACAAGACGTATGGAGAATGCCTTGATAGTCTTGCCTTTTTTATTACACCTTTTTACTAGAGCCCTTTCTCTGAGCTAAGCACATTTTAGTCCCCATGTAATTTCAGTCACAGCCTTTTATGATACCAATTTATAGGTTGTCCAATGTTGAATATTGTGTGTGTGTGTGTCTTTAACTGTTACTTGACCCATGAACTCTGTTACGAGCATGTCCGTTGCCTGTTGCAACTGATGTAAACCCCATAACCATTAAACTCCGTGCTGAACGCCCAGTATTAATCCAAGATGATCGTAATCAAACACCATTGCCCCGAGTTACTAAACACCCTCATGATCGCCTCATATTGCACGCCAGTATACTCTAATAAGCCATCAAATTCAATGCTCCGTCAGATATCACAAAGCGTCCATGCTAGCACGCGTTGTGAGCTGCTCATTCTTGTTGCCCAGTCGTGAAATCTGTAGGAAGACATCAACCCCGTAACCTTCGAGGCTGTGCAAGTCCAGACTACCAGCCCAGTATTCAGCATAGACACGGCTCAGAGGCAATCCCATGCCCAAACGCAGATTAGGTGGCCGACTGGTGAGCGAAGAGAGAGAGCTCTGATATGGCGGGGCCTTGAGGTCGGCGCGGCCCAGCTCCTCCTCGACGTGGAGTTCCTGCATGGTGGCGGCCATCTTGGGCACCTGGGCGAGATTCTCAAGACGCCTCTGACTCTGTGGTCCTTTGGTGAAAGACCAAAGGTAAGGGAGCTCCACCCGGGGGATGCCGCCACCACGGTCACAGATGCGGATGATGACGTGCTGGTGGTTCTCGCAGATGGTGATCTCGACAGGGTGCGGTTTCACAGAGTTGGGGTCAGCATGTATCTGCTGATGTCGGTCGATGACTGCCTGGACCGAGTTTCGGAGCAATTCGCCGATGATGTACTCGAGGTGACTCAGAATGTAGGGGAAGGACGCGTCAAGGTAGCCCTCAACCTTGATCTCAGGGATCTGAACGCCAGGACCGTTGGTCGTTCGAGCTAGGGCTCTAACGGCTTTTGAGCAGCGTTCGATGACGTCTTTTGCATAACATTTTATAAAAACCTCGCCGATAAAGTCCGATTCGGATAGTTTGGCGCCAGGGGAGAAGTTGGGAGAGTTGTAGGCCTCGGTTAGGGATAAGTGCTGTTCAGCGATGACTCGTCTTGAGATGCGCTGCCCTCATGATTAGTAGCTGTTGATGCAGGTTAAGGGTGGTCAAGTCTCACAGATCTGAGAATAGTATTCATAAATTTGTCCAGGTCATTGGGATCCATGAGCCCGCCACACTCTAGAATCCCCATAGCAAGCTTTGGTATGACGGTCAAGTGGCTCTTGAGGTTCTGGCTGATGAGATCGCACATCTTGTCATTGTCTTCCAGTGTCTTGACCTCTTTGATCTTGCGGAATGTGTCAAAGGCATTGTAGTAGAGGTCATATACAGCTTTCATGTGGGGATTCGTGACGACGACCCAGGGCAGGCGCTGCATGTCCCGGAGGCGATGTGCGATGCTGTGGTCGAGTGTGTCAGTTTTAATGTGTCGAGATGAGGGCGGTTGACGACTCACCGGATGGGCAATTCGGTGCGGACATAGTTGGCAGAGCTGATGAGGCGAGATTCTGTGAGGGATCGACCGAATACCATGAGCTGGCGAAGACTAATAGGGCGGGCTTCCTTTGCGACCCATCTGAAGACCACCATGGGTTAGCATCGGTTCAATCGATAGTTGGAGAAAACGCACTCGTCGAGGATGGCAACGGGGCGCCATGAGGAATTGTTTGGAGCGCGCGCGTGGGCTGTCGAGAACAGGGCATGAGAGGTTCTGAATAGGGCACCCGGATGTGTCAGTCTGCATCGCCTGCTCTGTCGCAGGGCGATGGATGGCATCTCGTCGGAGGTCGCATACGTCGCGGAGTCGGTTCAAAGTGCAACAAACACGGTCGCGTGAGGGGTTCGAAATCGATGAAACGGCAAGAGAGGAGCTACCCAGGCGGGAAGATGAGAGGTTGAAGTTGTCTGCTGCATGTGCCGCCTCGGGCAGAAGCTGGGATGGGCAGGGCACAAGTAGAGAGATGGTGTGGTGTGGTGGGTGACTCGGTGCCTCGATTTCTTTACCCCACATTGGCGATACCGGCCGCTCGCCCGCGTTCCCGCATCTGGGGAGGGTTGCATGTGCCTGCCGGTTGCGGCCCATACGGGATGAAAGATTTGTAGAGGTGAATAAAACGGTTGCTATAATTGTGTGACTAGCTGGGGTTGCTTATTGTGCAACTAATTGTGCAGAATTATTGACTTTTGTCGGGCGGTTTGCTTGTTGTTGTGGCGTCTGCTGATGGATGAGCTGTCAGGAGCTTGGAGTGCTTGAAGGTACAAGCAAGTTGCTGGACAACGGCTTGCAGTACAGGTTGTCAAGGCAAACTACGTAGCAAATTCCTGATGGGGGAATTTCTACTAAAGAAGAAATAGGCAGGCCTAATTCTGTCGAATCTTTGAGAACTAACATAGGTATTCAGACCATGCTTGACAGCATGGAGCTATGACAGCTAACTGGAGCTTGCACCAGGATGATGCTTCTGCTAGGGGACATGCAAGACAGTGCTGGCTACAGCTTGAAATGGAAGCTAGAGAAATACTCGCATCAAATGCTTCCCGGGTGTCAGTATTGCATAGCTACATAAGTGCACAATTCCCGCTCTACCTAGGTACTATGTGTTACCGATATAAGGTTCGTTGTCCATGCCTCAAGCTCTAGCTCTACAGGAAGCTCAAGACTGCCCATGAAGCTCTTCCACAGCAATACTACAACTCACTGTCTCTGCAGCAGGACCCAGCTTCCTTGCGTCAGACCGCTTCTTTTAGTCAACTAACCTCATCACATGTCATGAGCAAGGAGATCCAGGATAATGAGGCATGGTGCGTGCCTGTCTGACATTGCCTTAGCTTCGCATTTGCCTGGTATTTGGTGAAAGGCTGGCAACGTCATTGGCGGGGTGATCCGATGACGCTTTTCTGAGATAAGGATGTACTTGTGGATGTGTGAGGGTTGTAAGCATGAATGTAAGTCTCTCTTTACCGCCACTGTCGCCTCAGCCTGGATCCCTCAGGCTTCGCACAACTCTTTGTTCCCGCCTTGAGGATTGATTATCAGCTTGGGCCTGTCGATACCAGACGTCTCACTCTCCTCCTCACATAATTATCCCCGTATCTTGACGACGCGATACAGCTTCTCTATCTAGACGAGACGAGACTTGGGCCTGGGGGGGCTTAGAACTTTGTGGGTTTCAGCCATTGTCTATCGCCCTTTTACTGACCTAACCGACCGCTCTCTTTTTTTCCCTTTTTACAGTACATTTGAGTCGAGTTCCTCATTCCTCCTGTCCTGTCATTGCTGCATTGACCTTGACCTGGCAGGCCTGCCAACGTTACGTTACCCACCTCATAGCTCACTCTTTTTTTCCTGTTTTACTTTGGAGTATTCATACATATTTACCTACCTCCAACCTCGGACCCCGTCCGTCTACTTACCTACGTCGATACCTATCTGGGTATACGTCCACTTTTGACATCTGCCGTGTCTTCCGCTTCTCGCCTCGACATTGTCGAGCTGCTGTCGACGAGACGCCTTTTGACTGTCGCCACGCCCGCCCGCGCGTCGTCGCCAGCTGGACCAGCATCTCGTGAGATCACCACCACTTGGGTTTTTTGTCCTCGGCCGCCCTATCACCGGAAACTCGAGTTGCCTCATCCTGCATAACCACGCCGCCGTTCCTGCCGCTCCGGTCGGCTGCCTTGCACTGTCAGAATGGTACGTCGTTGTCCGTCCCCGTGCATCCTGCCGTGAATTGGCACTGCAGCCCCGTTTGCCTTGGCTTGCCGTTGCCGTGTCTTTTGTTTCCCTTTGCTTTCTTCTTTTACTTCTTTCTTCAACTCAAACTCCTGACTCCCTGCATCATCCTCCCACTGCTCATATCCAGCTGCATCCTCTCCCCATCAGTTGATCTTTGAAATCGCGAGCTTCCCCTACCAGTACTCGTTAATTCCCACCACCTTCGACCCGACATCACATCACTTGCCCCTCACCACCCGCGCTACTGGACACCCCAGTCCCTCCGAATGCCGACATCATGGCCTCAAATCGTCGCGAGCTGCCGCATCACCCCAGGCCCTTAGCTGACCGTCGCACTCTCCCACAGACTCACGATGTCCATTCCCCGAACGACATGGTCATGGACACGGACGATTACATCAGCGTCGCCAACGAGCCCGAGAACGTTGCCATCATCAACCCCGATAACCTCGAGCATGGCGAAGCCGATCAGCTGCAAGATCTCCCCATGGCCAACGACCGTGCGTATCCCCGTTAATATGGCCTACCGCTGCCTACACCTGCCGTGTTCCCCTACAGATTGCATCGACCGCGATACCGCCAGTTTTAGGCGATGTCATTCTTTCCAAGCTCCCCACGCTAACCGTCATCATGGCTTTAGATGAGGCGATGAAGGAGCTCTGCCTCCCACCGTTGATCGATGAACCCAAGATCCTCGGAGACTACAACAATACCTGGACCGTCGAGAACTGGCGCACTCTGAGCAAGAAGGAGCATGGGCCTATTTTCCAGGCTGGCGGCTTCCCATGGTGCGTCTGACTTGTTTCCGACGCTGCCGTTTGCCTAGACGCTGACACTCGCATTCCCGCTACAGGCGCATTTTGCTCTTCCCACATGGAAACAATATAGATCAGTGCTCCATCTACCTTGAGCATGGCTTCGAAGCCGATGACGTCCCCGATAATTGGAGCTGCTGTGTGCAGTTCGCGCTCGTGCTATGGAACCCGAACGACCCAAGCCTATACGTCCATCATGCTGCCCACCACCGGTTCACCAAGGATGAGGGCGACTGGGGCTTCACGCGCTTCGTCGAGCATCGGCGTATGTTTAATGTACCATGGGAGGGTGGTAGTCGGCCGCTGTGCGAAAACGACACGGCCAACATCACCGCCTACCTTCGCCTAGTCGACGATGAGACGGGTGTGCTATGGCACAACTTTATCAACTATGACTCGAAGAAGGAGACGGGCTACGTTGGGCTCAAGAACCAGGGCGCCACCTGCTACCTCAACTCGTTATTACAGTCTCTGTACTTTACAAACAAGTTTCGAAAGGTTGGTTCTCGAGCTTGTCTCGCTTTCCTCTGTTTTGCTGACCTGCCTAGGCTATCTACGGAATCCCCACCGAGAACGACCCGAGCATGCACAACAGCACTTATACCCTACAGCGACTATTTTATCAACTACAGACCTCTGACCAGGCGGTGGGAACCAACGAGCTCACGAAATCATTCGGTTGGGACACTCGACACATCTTCGAGCAACAAGATGTCCAAGAATTCTCTCGCAAACTCATGGAGAGAATGGAGGAGAAGATGAAGGGAACCGAAGCCGAGAATGTCTTGTCTGGGATGTTCAGCGGCAAGATCAAGACTTACATTTCGTGCATCAACGTCGACTACGAATCTAGCCGTATCGAGGACTTCTGGGACATCCAGCTGAACGTCAGCGGTAACAAGAACCTTCTCGAGAGCTTCCAGGACTATATTCAGGTGGAGAAGATGGATGGCGAGAACCAGTACTTTGCCGGCGACGAGCACAAGCTTCAGGATGCCAACAAGGGTGTCATTTTCACTAGCTTCCCCGATGTGCTGCACCTGCAACTGAAGCGGTTCGAATATGACATTCAGCGCGACATGATGATGAAGATCAACGACCGATACGAATTCCCTGAAACGTTCGATGCCGCGCCGTATTTGTCCGAGGATGCTGACAAGTCTGTCTCGTGGACGTATCAGCTTCACAGTGTCCTGGTTCACAGCGGTGACCTTAACGCAGGCCACTACTATGCTTTCCTGAAGCCTGCGCAGGATGGCTGGTTTTACAAGTACGATGACGACAAGGTGACCAAAGCCACGCTGCGGGAGGTGATGGAGGAGAACTTTGGTGGCGAGTATCGAACGGCCAACGGCTATCCACGCGCCCCCCTGCAGAAGAAGGTCCCGATCATGCGCCAAAACAGCGCGTACATGTTGGTGTACATCCGCCAAACGCGCATAGACGATATCCTCTGTCCAGTCACCAAGGACGACATCCCGCTTCACCTCAGTAAGTCACACAGGGTGTCTCTTGTATCTCGTCTTGCTAACCTAGCAAGAACAAAAATTTGAGGAGGAAACAGCCCAACGTGAGGCCAGGAAGAAGGAGCAAAGAGAGGCACATCTGTACATATGGGCCAAGGTGATCACCGACAAGTCTTTCCAACAATTTAGCGGAACCGATCTATGCCAGTTCGATGCGAATCCCGAATCGGACCCAGCTGCGCCAAGCTACTACCGGGTGCTCAAATCTATGACGATGGAGGAATTCGTTGGACAAGTTGCGGCAGACATGGGCGAAGATCCTCGCAGGGTGCGGTTGTGGCTCATGGTGAATCGGCAAAACAAGACAATCCGCCCCGACCAGCCGATTATGGACCTACGACCTACGGTAGACGAAACCTGCTCTCGATCAGCCGCTCACCGGGATTCAAGTCTCCGTGTGTGGGCTGAAGTTGCTGAGGAAGTCAATGCGGATGGTGAGGCAATCTGGCCTTCGTATCAGAGCCAGCAAAACGGCGTGATTATGAAGAACGAGGTCATTTTGCTTCTCTTGAAGCACTTCGATATCGAGACTCAGTCTCTGAAGGGTGTTGGCCATGTGTACATCTCCAAGGAGAAGAAGGTGGAGGAGCTTGTTCCTCTTATCATGAAGAAGATGGGTTGGGGAGACAAGCTACCAGCTGACGAGAAACTTTCCCTTTGGGAGGTAAGACATCCTTATGAATTGGGGACCTTGGTATCTAACTGCTACTAGGAAATCAAACCGACCATGATCGAGCCTTTGAAGCCTAAGCAGTCTTTGAAGGTTGCAGAACTGCAGGACGGAGACATTATTTGCTTCCAGCGAAGTACAGAGCGCAAGGCCAGTCTGGAGAAGCGCTCTGGCGACAAGCCGATGCAAGAAGCGTATGTCATGGTGTGTATTTATATGAGTAACTCACTAACATTTCGCCAGGGTCAACACATCAGAGCACTTTGAGGATGCGCGCGAATATTACGATTTCCTTGAGCACAAGCGAACCGTCAAGTTCCATCCTCACCCTACCCGGTGTGACCAAACTCAATACCCTCCTTTCGAGCTGGTGCTCAACTCTAAGATTACATACGACACCCTCTCGGAACGGGTTGGAGCGCATCTGGCTGTGCAACCCACTCACGTTCGGTTCTGGACTGTGAACGCATCGACTCAGAATCCCAAGACACCCGTGAGACGAGGAGCAAACCCAACACTGCGACAGATCCTGAACCCGATGGGCTCCACGGCGCTCAACTCAACCCAACGGAACGACGCATTCTATTTTGAAGTGCTTGAGATGAGTCTCGCTGAGCTGGACACCAAGAAGAGCATCAAGGTGATCTGGCTGAGTGAGGGCATCACCAAGGAGGTACGAGGGCATGTGGCATTTAGATGGATATCAGCTGACAAATTGTACAGGATCAATACGATCTCCTTGTCCCCAAGACGGGTACAGTCGACGACGTGGTTGAGGCATTGATCAAGAAGGCGCAGCTACCGAGCGAGGCCGAAGCTGGTAGAATACGGGTGTACGAGACCAGCTCGAACCGATTTTACCGAGAGCCGCTTCGCGAGCATCCTGTCATGAACCTTAACGAGTATGCACAGATCTATGCTGAACGAGTTCCTCAAGAGGAGGCGAACGCCGATGAGAGCCACTTCATCCAAGTTTTCCACTTCCAGAACGACGTCAGCCGAGTTCATGGTGTACCTTTCAAGTTTTTGATCGTTGAGGTAAGATTTCCGGCTCGAGAACGAAAGACATGTGGTTAATAGTATTGCGTAGGACGAGACGTTCGCCGAGACAAAGAAGCGGTTGGAGAAGCGAACTGGAATCAAGGGCAAGAGCTTTGAGAAGATCAAGATCGCTGTGGTGCGACGATCTAACTACTCGAAACCACAATATCTCAGCGATGGTATGTCTCGAAGGGCGATGCCCGTTTATATAACTAACAAGAGACAGATGACGTATTATCAACCTTTATACAAGGGGAGGATGACTACCTCGGGTTCGACCATGTAGACAGGACAAGGACGCTGAGGAACGGCGTTGGGGACCTGTTTCTTCGATAAAGGGGGCTGAGGAAAAGAGACAGGCTTCAGGCACGACACGGCGTATCTAGCATATCTGCCGGCTTGTTGTCGAAAGGCATCAGGCACGTTTGCGGCGACAGACGCGGCATTTCTCTTCGGTTGGGCCACAGACACGAAGAAGGCAAAGGAGAGGGATGAGTGGACCATGTCGACTCACGAAACATGACATAGGAGGACGGATAACGAAGGAGAGGAGCGAGTGATGAGCACGACATTCGGTTTTATTATTACTGTTGATCCTATGGGCCGGTTCATGGCTTGTGAAGTTTAGTTGTGTATGCAGCAATTGGCTAGACGCCGCTGGATTATACCCAGCTCATGGACAATCAATAGTTATCCCGAGTCGTTGAGGGAGAAACTAGTGCTGGCCTATCTCGGTTCCCTTGAGTAGGCTGAGCGCTTGTAAGATCAAGCCAGTTTCTGGGTAGTTGTTGACAGTCGCTAGCTATATCATCTGGTCCGGTTAAGTATTGTATCCAACATCTTGGATACGAGATGAGAGAAGTGTGAGTTTGGAAGGTGTATAAGCGTTATATCATTGCGTGCCTCTAAAAGTTGATATCATCTAATACAAAACGCCGGTCCAATAAATACAAACGAACGCTCCATTACGATACTGATACCGCAGCAGCAGCAGAAGAGGATGAACTGGCACTGCTAGCAGCACCCGCGGTTGCCATGTCTCGCATGGCCTTTTGCCAGATTGCCATGCAACTCATGACAACCATCAAAGCCCAGGCTGTGCCCAGCTCACCAGTGAGACCACTGCCTCTAAACTGGAGCTCTCCCACGCCCGAGATCTTCCAGCAGCTGCTTCCCGCCCACACGGCGACAATCTCCTTGCCGTCGCTGGTGAAACCGTCTCTATCGTCGGGAATCTCCTCGTCGCTCGAGTAGTCCTCTTCTTTGTTGCTTCCTAGTCGGACAAGCTTCCAGCCCCATCTTGACTGGCCGACACTCTTGACTTCGCTGCCGTGTGAGCGACGCCACTCGAATCGTTCAACGTGTCTTCCGGCACCTTGGCCGACTTGAATGCCGAACCACCATCTTCCCTTTCTTCCAGATGGACGACGCAAGATTTCTAAACCGCCATCAAAGTCGGAGCCGGGTAGGGGGGGTAGTGTGATGGAGTAGTCCGGGGTTCTACAGACACGGTCCCTCGATCCGCTTGCGAGAGGTGTCGACTCTGTGCTAGGTCCATTGTGGAGGATAATGTCTCCGTACCAGCCCTTGGGGAGGCTGACGGAGTATGTAGGTTCAGCGTCGGGCTCGCCTAGGTTGAGGGAGACGCTGGTCCAGCAGATCAATTGTGACCAGGTGTTTTGGTAGGATGCCCGGATGACTGGAGGGACGCCCTTTTGTTGGCCCTCAGGGGACATTTGGGGAGCGATGCCGGGTTTTGACTCTGAGTTGCCCATGGTGGTTGTGTTTGTGGTGTCAGTCTTGGTAGTGATGCTAGTAGTGATGGTGTTGATGTTGGTGCTGATGGTTATTCAGGTAAAGAACAAGATTTTACAATGATAAAAATGTCAAAAGACTGTTTTTCTTGGTTATTTTCCATCCTCATCTTTCCCGTCTTCTTCATCAACTTATATACACAAGAGCCCTGAAGCCGCGATATGCCTCTGACGACGTTGGAGCGCTCCATCTGCCTTGACACGGGAATGATCGACAAGCGGACAACACCGCCAACATCGACTGTGGCTTTTCGCCAATCAACTCGCCACCAACAAAGGGAGAGACATTATGACGTTGCAGCGAATGCAGACATTCGTTCATAGGCGCTGGGTTTGCTCTTGTTGCGGTTAATAGGGCTGATCTTGAGACCAAGGACGAGGTGTGATTCACGGTCAGGGTTGATTGTTTGTAGATCTGGGCTTGAGTAGGGGACCATGGTTTTTGTAGAGTTTTCCTTCTTTGGAGGTTGGGTGTTTTTCAAGCTCAAGGTTTGCTATTGTATTGCTTCGAGAAATGACGGAGCTTAATGTCGCAATCTCGCCAAGCGCAAGATGACCGCCAGCAACAGTATTCACAGATGTGGCATACCTAGTGAGCTTCGCTTGAGGCTTTGCAAAAAAGCCTTCAAGAGTAGCATCCATATCTCTGCTTGCGGATCAACACTTGATAAGGCGACTACCCGACAAGGACGAGCTAGTCTATCAAGCAAAATATTAGACAGTGTTTGCACATATTGGACTTGACTACTCTATTTGCCATCCATGAGGATATATATCTTTTTCCTGCCATGGATTCTGACACAAACACAAGTGACCCGACGGTTGTGCTACCCTACGGCTATAGAGGGCGGACAAATGAGTGCGGGATATTTGCGAATTGAGGCGACATTATGCCATCTTCTATGCATTGATGGGTCTCGTTCACGTGCTAGAAGGAGGCAGCGACCTCGACAATAATTGTTCTTGTTGGGAAGAATATGATCAGAGAGGTAATGAATGAGTCAACATTGGTTCTACAAATAACACCACAACAACGTGAGTTTAAGTGGAGGTTCTGATTTTTCGGACGTTGAATTTGCTGGTTTTCTTTTGGAAGGTGGGACACGGCGGCCTTTCATTGCCGACGCGGACTCTTTTTCCGTTTTTCTCTGACTCTTCGTCTCGAAAGAATTCACGACACAACGCTCATCAAGCTCAAATTGCTCAATCATGGGTATCAAGCTCGTTCTAGGCTCCCAATGGGGTATGCGATTCCTTCTGTTCCCCTCCAAACCCCACCATTCCGTTCCGTACCCCTGCGCTGCGATGCGATGCGATGCCCCGCGCCGATACCGCGCACCTAGCTCCATGATACGGACAGGATCTGAGAATGCAGGCTGACTTGTTGCAGGCGATGAAGGTGTATGTTTGGACATCGCGACCGAATATTTCGAATTCCACTGAGTACTGACGTCAATGGCCGACTAGAAAGGAAAACTTACCGATATCCTGGCCCCGTACGTCTCAATGCATCCTGTCGACGCCGACAACTTGACTAACGATTGCTCCAGGGAGGCCCAGCTTTGCGCACGCGCTGCTGTCCGTACCCAATGTGATTGTAACCTGTGGTATACATACTAAGACAGATATAGGGAGGTCATAATGCAGGTCACTCCTGTCTGTGAGTCTTGTCTGCGCGATATCAATATACATGCTGTGTTGCTGACCACAGTGAATAGCGCCAACGGTGTGTCTTATAGGTATGGGCGTGAGACGGGCTCCCCAGTTATCACAAAAAAGTGATACTTACCATGGATTGTTAGCTTCCACTTGCTCCCTTCGGGTCTTATCAACCCCAAATGGTATGTTGTCGCTGTATTCCGCTGGCCTGCTGTTCCGAGACTGACGCTTCATTAGCATGAACTTCATCGGCACCAGTGTTGTCTTTCACGTGTACGTATCTCTCGACCCAAGAACCTCGTCATAAGTCCTCGATCCTCGATAGCAATGGCCTAATGCCTACTATACACCGAGACTACAAGACAGTTTGCGCTCAGGCAGCTGACTTGCTCATCTGGCCATTGGTTGTCGCGTTCACGACGGGACATCAAGGCAAACTGAGAAACGCGCAAAGAGCTTCCATTGAAGTGACCATGACTCTGACCTGTCGAATAGCCCCTCCTTCTTCCAGGAGCTCGAGGAGTTGGATGCCAAGGGTCTTCCCAACGTTTACGACCGTATCCTGGTCTCGGACCGTGTGCACATTGATTTCGACCTTCACGCCGCTGTCGACGGACTCGAAGAGGTCGAACTTGGAGGTGGATTGATCAATCTGGAATAAGTCATATACAGCCATTGACTATGCTTCCCAGAGCGCAAGGTTGGAACGACAGGAAAGGGCATCGGACCTTCCTACAGTACAAAAGCTGCTCGAAGCGGTATCCGACTGTCCGAGATTTTTGACGAGGAGCTTTTCGAATCCAAGCTCAGAAGGCTGGCCGCCGGCTACGCCAAGCGATACGGTGACCTTCTCAAGTACGACGTCGAGGAGGAGATTGCCCGGTTCAAGGAGTATCGCCCCAAGCTTGCCAAGTATGCCGTTGACGCTGTGGCTTTTATGAGCTCGGCCCAGGAGAGCAACACCAGCATCCTCATCGAAGGAGCGAACGTTTGTACCCCTTGTTCACTGTGCTGGGTTTCTACTGACTAGCTGGGGGTTGAACGAGGATGTCTGCGATCTGGGGCTCTCACTTGTTCAACTTGTTGAATTGCCCCAGACCAGGCTCTCTTCTCAACCTCTTGACTGAATAGGCGCTCATGCTCGATCTCGACTGGGGCACTTTTGTAAGCATATTCCCTTTCCAGTTCCTTATATTCACATACTGATATTCTTTAGCCTTATGTGACTAGCAGCTCTACCTGCTTGGGAGGCTGCATTGCAGGACTTGCCCTTAACCCAACCAAGATTGAGGAAGTCATTGGTGTTGTCAAGGTACAGTTGTCTTGAGCGTTTTGATGGACCGGCTAACACCAAAACAGGCGTACACGACCAGGTAATCCTATACATAAAAGGTCTGAAACGCGGATTCAAGCTAATCTTCGACATAGAGTCGGATCCGGCCCTTTCCCCACTGAGGACGTGACTGAGGAGTGCGTGTTCTATTCCCATTAATCTCAACTCAGGCTGACTGATCGTTATCAGGGTTGGCGTAAAGCTTCAGGATGTCGGCCGTGAATGGGGAACTACCACCGGTCGGAGACGTCGATGTGGATGGTAAGATATATTTGCCCGAAACTGGTCCCATTGTTGTGACTAACGAGACTAGGCTCGGTATGTTGGTTACTGAATCCTCGGATCCGATACTTGATCCGACATGATGGCGAATGGAACGATATCTAACTGAAACCATGTAGACCTTGTTGTCGTCAAGTATAGCACAGTACATAAACCCCCCGTTATCTCTATGGAGCATATGATTAATGTTTATCAGGCTATCAACCACTACACGGCACTGAACCTCACAAAGGTAAAGCATACCATGGTTCAGCTTAACAGCTAATCACTGACTTTGTTTCCCAGCTCGACATTCTGGACGGCTTCGAGAAGATCAAGATCGCTATCGCTTACAAGGACGAAAATGGCGAGGTTGGTGAACCACCGGATGGAAGCTTACGGACACAAAGGTTGACTGTTTACAGGATGTTCCTTCTTTCCCGGCGGACCTCAAGCGTCTTGAGAACGTCAAGGTTGTCTACCATGAGATGGATGGCTGGATGAAGCCCACCACCGATGCCAAGAACTACTACGACTTGCCTAAGCAAGCTCGGGAGTACATTGAAGTATGTGATGTGATATCCTATGAATAGGACTGTACTAACCGTATGACCAGTTCATCGAGAAGTTTGTCGGTGTCAAGGTATGATAAAACCTCGGGGGCTGCCCCGATCAGACAGGCCTCTGCTGGCTTCCGTGGAGTTGAACTTGAGAAGTACTGACATTTAAATAGGTCAAGTGGATTGGAACCGGTCCCAGCCGTGACTCTATGATCAAGCGGTCTTAGAAGATGGTGGATGGAGGAGACTAATTTGCGTTTCAGGGGAGAGGAGAAAAGCTGAACGCACGCCCACTTGCATCAACTCGAGGGGGATTTATGGATCTGATGGAGGATTAAAGGACTTAAAAAAGACAGAAATTTTGGCTCGAGACAGTAGTAAAATCTGAAAATGCTTTGAAGTCTTTTTTCCGTCATGTTCTACCGTGGATGAAGTTTAGATGTATGGGTGCTCCATAGGATATACCGGGCCCAGGAGTAGACACAGTGCATTCCAAATCTGCTCTTATCTCAGGATTACTATTGCCTTGTCTAACAAGAGCATAAAGATATCTGATATCATCACAAGTTTGCAAAAGGATATCTTGATAGTATGGCAAATATTTATATTCTCCATTTGCCACCTTCTCTAGGTTGCTCTCCGCGTTTTGGTGGACTGCTTGTGGGCCAGCATACATCTACAATCAAACAAGCAAACAGCCATAAGCCATAGAAGATACGCGGACCTTGGCTCGCTCACCATCACATATAAATAGGCGGCCTCTTCCCATACTGATGAACTTTCCACCTACTTCCTTGACAGGGATTTTGCCCGCCCTATAGTATAGTACCGACACCCAGCTCCTTGCCAGAGCGCGTCCCAACTTTCATCCTAGACCTACCACCTACAGAGTACTCTTGGACTTGCCTGATTACCCGAAACCCTTCAACGCGTATATACTTTCTGAACATGCCTTCCCCTTGGATCAACGATACGCAGTGGCCAACGGCGTCATCGACGATGAATCCAATCTCTCTTTCTCCTGTGTTATCTACTGCGACGATCTTGATATCCTCCTCAGGCTAAGAGCCATTCCAAGCTAGAGACACACCCGGCACGGGTCTTACCTCATGCCTGGGAGAAAGCCTGCACGCCCGGCAAAGCGAATGGCTCGGCCCATGGGAACCACCCGTCTTCGCAAGACCTGGATCCCAGAAACGGAAACAAGGGGATCCGACCTTGTATGATAAGAGCTCAGTCTAGGATTCGTTTCCCATTGCTGATACATATGTAGATATATCACCACCATGGTTCATTGTCCGATGAACCTTGCATCCACCGAAGCAGTCCAACGATGCAGAAAGATCCCGTCTTTCCAATATATATATTTTGGCTATCGAACAGACTCTGAACGGTATCTAAAACATCGTTTTGCTCTGTTCTGTTCTGTTTTGCTCAGCCTGTAAAGAGTCGATGGTGAACTACTCGGCATGCTTACGAAAGATGTCCTTCCGGGTCCTGCCCTGCAGTTCTCTCTCCATACTCGGTCGCCTCCTTCTCTAGAATCATGTTTTGGTATACCTGGCATGTTTTCCTGGGGTTGTACTACGAGACGCAGGCAGAATTGGGTTGCTTCACAGTCTCTCAAAACATTCAACTATATATCGCCTACCAGCTGTGGAACGACTGTGACGGAAAGGCTTCGGGGCATTGGCCTCCTGGACACGATGTTATCCAGAATCACACGCAAGAAGGGATTGCCAAGACTCCCCGTCAAGTACTCAACCAGCCAACACCTATATAGGAGCCGATGGCTCCAAACCTATAATCAGTTGTTACCACAACTCGAACGTTTCTACAGTCTTGGCCGTCAGAGCGCGGTACAATGATTGCAGCAAATGGCTGGTCTTCGGTTAGTTCTGCCCCGGACGACGAACAGCGAGCCATCACCTCATCCCTTCAATCAATGTTCCGTCGAGTGTTCAGAGCCTTCTGGCATTTTCTTCCAGCTTTCTACGATAAAGCTACCGAAAAGACGAAAACGAACGCAAGACGATCTGCATCAGCATCCTTTCATGCCGGGTGTTATATAGACATTGCTCTCTACTCTGGTCTGGCACCAGAGAGAGAGTCTCACGCGGTTGCTGGGTCCAAGTCTGGCTCCCGCAAGTGCATCGTGGCGACCAACATCGGCGAGATCAGTGTGACGATCGTCTACGTCGTGGGTAAGTATCAGCACCTAACCTCCGAGCCATGAGAAATGTAGCTGACGGTTAAATTTGCCTAGAAACGGGTCTGGTGAAGCAAGCAGGCTTCAACCCTCGTGTCAGTCTCAACACCCTCCGCAAATGAAAGGGGAGGCGGAGTGCGTTGCTCCTATACATCACTTGGGCCCGCTGAAGCCTAATTCGAGCATATGCCACTACGATTCTTCCAACAAACTGTTTCTCGACAACACATATGAGAGGCAACTATATAGACAACAAAATCGATGATGAAGCTCAAAATACAGGTCATGTCATGGCCAGAGTCAACATCATCTCACATCCAAGGGCGGAGCACGGGCAGTCACCCAAGAGCAGTCTTCACAAGGCACTACAAGCTGTAACTTGGGTGGAGGACTTGGTGGGATCGAATAGGTGGATTTGATAATGAGTCTGCAACTGGATATGCGGCTTGAGCTGCTTTGATGAGTAGGACGACGTCGATGAGGTGGTCGATTAGTCTTTGATCAATTGACTATCAGCGGACATTCTGGATGGAGAATGGATCGAGATGACACATTGAGCGAAACTTTGGTTCTACAACTATCATTTGGGCTTGGTTCTTTAGCTTGCTTTTCGCTGAGGCTTCACTAATGAGTGTATTCAAGCTCTAAGAGGGACGAGAGACAATGCATAAACGCAACTAGATACAGATCGGCATCATATTTAGCTATAGTATCTGCTATGATGCAATCTTGTATTTCCTTAAAACACTTTTCCATAGGTATCTGACTGAATCCCAAGTTGCTAAAGTCCACACCCCTTCCAAAGGAGTTTCCTGTCCAAACTCCAACACCATTATTATACGCACGAAGAGAATTCGAGGCTCATTCCCAAATTCCAATACTTTTCTTCAATCACTAGTCAGGTCAATGACATCGATATCATCAGGCAGCTTGCGCTTCTCCCCAACCACGAGCGCTCGCGAGGAGCCAGCCTGAGCAGCCTGAGCCGTCTCTGCCAGGGGTTGCCGCTCACTCCCGGTAGCCATGATACGGTCCATGTTGGTAATGGCCGTGTACTCGTCCCCAAGTAGCGTCTTAAGTCTGCCCTGGTTGAAGCGAACCAGCTCCTTGGTGGCCTCTGTGCGGCGAGTGGTCCAGCTTTGAAGTCGCTGCGCGATCTGCTTGAATGTCTTTGTCACGACGAGGGTATGAGGGGATCCTCTGCGCTCTGTTATGTGAGTACAGTCGACATGTGCGCTGTCGAGCCCCTGGTGAAGGTGGGCGCGTCGTTGCTTGTTAACCGAGAAGCGTCCCACCTCACGAGAACGATCGACAAGGAACTCGTTTAGACGCTCGCAGTCGCCACAGTTGCAATGAACTCTGGGCCGTATCAAGCTGCTGTTGTAGACGGGCTCTCGGCCTACGTACTTGTCTAGATAGGCCTTGAGAAATGTGGTAAAGAGTTTCTGGTAGCGAGACAACTCGTCCGACGACATGGTAGAATAATCCAAAGCCGCGTCGACTTTGCGCAGGAAAGGAATCCACAAGTGAGGAAGTTCATCGGCTTTAATCCCAGGACAGTCGGAGGTAAGCTTGGAGACAAAAGACGCGGCGAGGTCATCAGCCTCCGTATCGGCCTTTATCAAACCCCTAAACAGGGTCGACAGCTCACGAATGCTGGCGCTCAATGAGAGTTCGCGGCGAAGTTCGTCTTGCGAGCAAGCGTACCGGATCTTTTTAGCCGAGTGCTCAAGCGAGACGTGGCTCTGTGCCTTTGTGAAGTCGACCGAGGCGATCATGGTCTTGGCGATGGATCGGTATAGCTGCAGGGAGCTCTCCATGGGTAGCTTGCCGTTACTTGCCTTGTCCATCAGCTGAGATAAGAAGCTGACAGTAAGTGCCAGTGATCGCTTGTGTTTGTCAATGATGGGTGCCACGCTGCACGACTGTCAGCATTGTCGATTATACCTAATGTTTAGAACCAAAGACCTACGTCTCTGAGAGGAAGGCTAAAGGGTCGTCAAAGTAGAACGCGAGGTCTACCATGGGTGGCCCATCCACGTGGCCCAGAACATTGGTGGCACTGTTCTCTAGGCACTGGCGTGTGGTTTCGCGAGCCCACTCGAGCGCACCTGGTTCGATGTCCGAGAGTTGGTCAGGGATGGGAACTAGTCTGGTGATGGCCTCAGCCCGCTGGCCGAGATCAGTGCCTAAGAGGATAGCCGAAGTAATCCTGCCCTGTGTTAGCTTGCCGAACACTCATCACTGTTCAAGCCGAGGACTCACCCTTTCTGGATGGCCTTGAAGCGTTGGTTGACATCACCACCATTCAACCACTCTTTAATCCAGTCCCAGAGACCAGGCTCTAGCTTCCTAGGACTCAAGGCCATGGTTTTGTCAAGCAGGTCATATCGTTCACGGTGCAATGCAACTCTGACGACTTCCTGCACGGCCGCCGCATCCAAAGATGCCCGGTAGCCTGGGGTACCCGTGGGGTTCCACGTTTCGCTCAAGATGCCGTCGAGTGCGGCAAAGAGAGACTCTGGTGCCTGCGGGAGCAAACATCTGCGGGCGAGATGTGCTACCGGCGATGGGGATCCGCCGTTACCGGCAAATAGAGAGGCAAGAGAGTCGTGGGGGGCAATGACAACGGTCTGGTTTGGATGATTAGAGAAAGCTGGAAAGAGGACGAGGAGATATCATACCGCTAAGCGATACCAGTGTGTCGCCATTGGACCCTGCAGAGTGTGTCAATATGGGCAGTTGAAAGGTTACCATACGTGGAGAGACATACCGAGTTTCCCATGTACCCTTCGTACTCCTCCCGTCCCTCGATGTCCTCAAAGGCGTCTACCTGGAGGATGTCATCTTCATCCAGATCGAGGCCCTTGGTTACAGTGTGACCGTCCAGGTCGACAAGAGTCAAGACTTTGTGCGAAGACTCTATAACATCTTCGAGTGCATGGAAGCCGTCTTCATCATCATCCTCGTCCTCCTCGTCCTCCTCGTCGTAGCCACCATAATACCCACCGCGGTAAAAGCTTCTCCTGTCGTAGGGATCGGGGCAATACTCGACGCTTCCCGTCTCCATCTTCTCGAGCAGCGCGAGGTAGACGTCGACGGGGAGCTTGCTACACTCTTCCTTCAGGGCTTGTACGCGGATTAGATCCTGTGCCTTTAGAGCATTGAGAGAAATGCTGGCTTCGGTGTAGTCATGATCCAGAACGTGATAGAAATACTCATTCTCACGTGTCGTTGGATCTTGAGCAAGCCACCTGTTCAGCGCTTGTCTAAGTGGCTGAGTGTTGACCTGGCTAAGGAGACTCGCCGAGGGACGCGGCTGGGCCGAGTCGAGAGCCAGGTTGTAAGTGAGAACCCAGCGGTATCCAGAGGTGACGGGAAGAACTTCATGTGACACGTCCGAGTACCAAAAGGCACAGGATTGGGCATGGTCCGACGACCTGAAGACGTGCGCTTGGCCGTTGTGTCTAAGAACCACGTCTCCGCCCTGATGGGTTGACGGCAGGCAGACGACGAGTGTGCCAAACATGTCAGGGATCTTTTCAGTACTTCCACTTGTTAGCTATGACATAGAGGGCCGTGGCCTGAAGCCTCACTCAGTGTGTGCCTTGAACATGGCACCCTTTTCGTAGATGAGCATCTTGTATAGCTCAGCCTTGATGTTTCCATTAATGCCCAGAGTCTTTGCGACTTGTTTACACAAGATTTGAACCTGGGCCGTCCATGTAGGATCACGTAGCTCGAACTGGCTTGGATCTAGTTCCCATGTGTTGCGCACAGAAGTGTCGACAATGGTTTCGCTCCCCTTACCATAGGGCGCCTGGCGGGCCTTGGCGATCATCTGGCATGCCTGGAACTCGCTAAGTGGTGTAGCGATATCGCCGACACCATGAACGAATACGCCCGCCGAGAGGCGATTCACGGCGGATGAAGACGCAAATGTGCCATCTACTTGGATGTTCTCGATAGCTTGTAGCAGTTCATCCCTGAGATCGCTGGGGGGACTTGAGATTGTGTGAGAAGTAGCATCACGGTCGCGCATCTCGACTTTGACGTCGGATGCCTCAACCTTGACGCCGGACATGGAATCAGATGCCATGACGGTCGGTGCTGGGTTAAGATGAAGTTATCACCAATGTCGTCGATGTGACGCGCTCGTCGCGTATGTAGGTAGGGATGCTTCAACTATGCGCTAACGAACTATGACGTCGGCTGTTAGCGTTTGCCGACAACGACATGGGTGTTTGATGCTTGCACTGGATTATTTCTGGTCGAGATTGATCTGTAAAATTTGAAAAGCATTGATTATGATGGTATACTGGTTGTTAGTTGAAATAGACACTTCTCACGGCCCCTTTGTAAGGTACAGTGCCCGTTCTTTATCCCCTGGTCTATCAGACAGTTAGTTACCCCGACAATCATCTTGGAAAAAGCAAACATTAGCCAACTCCCACAGTGTGTACTGTATCAACTCTCTAGACCTTGTGTCTGATAACTTCTTTTCTTCTTTTGAATGGTATTTACACGAATATCCTAACGCCAATTTCACCATGCAAGTCTCTTATAATCTCAGGTTATCAGAGTTCATCAACGTCGCTCCTTGGTGTACATGTCTCGGGAATAGAGGACGGCGCCGTTGGAGATGGTTTTTCTGGATGAAATGTGTAGTATATATCCATTAGGTTCTGGCAATTTTCTGGTGGATCATCAGTGTCCAAGATGTAGTCTTATTTCTTGTTTGTGAGTCAACAGTACTTGAGAAACTCTGCTTTCGAGTTTGCAGCGTTGGGGTTGATGTCGATCTTTGGCAGGTGAGTCTTGTACAGTTTCAAAGGCTCTGTTGTAGTGACAGGCGCTGGGTTCGCTGTGGTTTTCGATGGCTTGGCGGACACGAGGGCTTCTCTAGTTCGGTAGTTAGAAAAAGATAGGATACTGTCATGGAAGTGCCCACATTCTCCATTTCCCCTTCACTGGTTGTGTAGGTGATGGCTCTGGGTCGTTGAAATCGCTTGGTGGATTACATCGAATTAGAAATAGGCTTGTAAAGATGTCCCAAGAAACACCGACCCAATGCAGATATAACGGCCAGCCACGGTGTCCAAGTTGGGAATAAGTCAGATGTTGCACAACGGCTTCAGTGTACTAACAAACCCTAGTCAGCAAACACTAACAAGAGAACTGCAGTGAGTACATACGGATTCCATGACTGAAGTTGGATCGTGCTAAACCACTTCCACTTGACAAAGTCTTGACAAGCCTGGCCTTGCTCGATCCTCGCAATCTCGCAGGTATCCTCTATGCAGAGATTCCTCCCCTCGAGCAGGTCAGAGCAAGTATATGTCAGACCGTTCCTTTCAGTCAGCCTGTCAGTTGCCACGGACATGGCCTTTGAAATAGACTCGCAAGTATCGCCCTTCTGCACGGTGTAGATAGTTCCCTCGTACGCATCCTGTGTGTTGGTTGAAAGGCGAGAATCAGGAGTCGAGTGTAGCCTATACAACATGTTAGCAGGGACACATGTGCCCTCCTAAAACTGTTTAATACACACCTTTCTTCAAGGCAGAAAAGATCCCGAGCCCATAGAATGGACTCTGCAAACTCCATGGTCGACCTTGACTCGGATATGTTTTCCCATAGACCTTCTTTGAAATCCCCGCATGCCACCACGACATTATCCAGGAAGCCACCGAGTGAATAATGGCATGGATCAGCACAGTACAAGGCTTTTGGGCTGTCATAAACTTTGCTCTTTAAGCCATCGAAATCTCCGACCTGATCCGCTGAAACAACAAACGGACAGTTAATGCCTCCCGACAAAGCTTCTCAACATATCTGGGGAACGTAATCCGGCAACTCGAAGGGCGAACCGAAGAGCCTGTAACAGCGTGCCATCATATGAAAGATTTAGAACCCATGTCAAATGCGCATGGTCGTGCCGAATTGGGTAATCGAGTTGCGAGTGAGCGCTTCAAAGACGTGAGATGGAAGGATTTGCTGCAAGGAACAGGGGGCGGATCTGATGAGATTACATTTGGTTGGAATTGTTTGTGTTGCTTGATGTTGAAACGGGACTAAACAAGGCCTTGTAGGATAACATGTCAATCTCGCAAACATAATATAGATATCGCCGTGATTCATCATCGTTTGTTAGGTAGTTAATGATCGTGCCATGAAGCTAATGAGAAGTAATTCAGCCGTCAGCTTACACCTGCAGTGCTATATAACCAACACTCTAGCGGGACATGAGGTGATTTACCCCTGCTAATGATCTTTGCGCAGCTGGAAATTTATTGAAGCCTTAGCCTTATACTTTCATCCTCAGCTCTGGCCCTGTCCTTTCCTGGTGTCACGAGTCATCTCAGGTGAAGCCGAAATTGTCGGATTCCGGAACACGGCCCCACTCCGAGTGGCGGCGCCGGGTCTGCGAGGAACACGGACTTTGTGTCGGCTTAATCACGCAGCAGTGAGACTCGGGGATATAATTACCACTGGAACTACGGTTCGCACTGAACTCACATGTGAGAAACAAATGCCTTTAACAAGTCATCTTTTAAAGCCTAGAACATAATCCGTCTCGACAGTATCTAAACAAACTCAAGTACATCGATAATCACCTTTAACATCCTTACGTCCCTAAGGGAAGAAGACCAATTTACCTAGCCGCCTCCGCCTCCACCTCCACCACCGCCTCCGCAGCCACCACCACCACCACCGCCGCCGCCGCCGCCGCCATCACCTCCTCCGCTATAACTGCCGCCTCCTCCCCATCCGCTACTATAGCTACTATGACCTCTACCACTGCTGTAGCTTCTGTGACCGACTCCTCCACTGCTAGTGTGGCGAGAGGTCTTGTGGGTGCTGCTAACAGCAGCATCGGCAGAGAGGAGAGAGTTCATCGTCGTTTGCTGATTGAGTGTTGATGCCGTTCCCGCACCGCTTCCTCCCTTTGGGGAAGACGATGTCGCTGGCTTGGCTGCCGGTTTCTTGGCGGGAGCTGAGGCAGCAGGAGTTGACTTGGCCGGGGCCGGAGCAGATCTGGTGGCCGCAGGGGCGGGAGGAGATGTAGTCTTGACAGACGGAATCTGGGTCGTCTGAACAGGCTTTGGGGGTTCCTGCTTTTCCGACTCCTCTTGGGCAGCGTCGCGCCGAGAGAAGCAGAGACACTTGGCAAGGAGGTCCTTGAGAGCCATGTTGCCGGCTGCCAAGGTGGCTCAAGTATAAGCGAAGATATGTAGTTGAATGTGTAGAGTTGAAGATGCTGATGATGGTTTTTGCAACTCTCCAGCCAGAGTACGAGGTTTTATACTTGAGATGCTCAATGCTGCAACCTCACAGCTCGTATGCCTTTTTGTCGACCAGCAAGGCACCCATATCTTGATGGTGGTCAGCCAAGAGGGTTCGCCCTTACGAATAGCTATCGCTTGCCAGTAGCCAAACAAGAAAAGGCATGGGTCGTCAGATTAAGGTGTGGAGAAGGCGTCTCAGTTTATTCTAGTTTCTGTACGTCAGCCGGGCGTCTTGAACCTGGTCAGATCGAGGCTAATTCAGCTGGCGAGGTTGAATCGTGCATAGCCTCCATGATCCGAGCCCGCCAAGACGTCTATTGGCCTTGTTTCTGTACCCACTATCCAGGGCGTACTCAATTTATTTCCGTTTTCTTGATCAAGTTCCTTTTCTAGATGCTGATGGCTAAATCAAAGAATGTTCTAAAGGCTTGGCATATGCACCTTTGCATGAGTGGTACCAGCACAACGTTATCGCGCATTTAAAGACATCATGTCATACTGCAAGTCTCTTAATTATAATTCTGTTGCTATATTAGTCAGTCCTACTGGTCATTAAGTTGACTGTGAGTTGTGACTGTGAGACCAAGCTATGGATGCACTTGAATATCAAAAGCCCACTTATCTTCATTCATCAACTGGGATGATATACCCAACTTTTTGTTTCTGTCCAAAGGAATCAAGTATACCCATCAAGGGGGCTTCTAAATGGAAGCCTGGAGGAACCGCCCTATCCTATAGCCAACCACTCAAACAAGTTTCAATTCCACCCTCCACAAGCCATGAAGCAGATCAATTCCGAAGACGTCTTGCTCTTCGAGGCTGCCTAGTGCTTGCCAAGCGTGTCAAAGCTTTGTTGCATTGTTAGACCTGGTGACACAGCCACCAAGATAACCCCTCAGAGTGATCGAGCGATACCCAACTGCAAGGCGTCTGCAAGGCATATTCGCATTTTGTGTGGAGACTCGATCACCAGGCAGAAACAAAAGGTTATGGGCTGTTTTCATGTCGATCACATGTCTCTCCTTGCAAGTTGATAAACGCAATTATATGAAATAGGTCGGGCTGTCGTCTTGAAAAAATTGATCTGTGACTTTGTCAAGATATGTAGTTGCTTGCCCATGATACGTATTGAATCCCCTTTTCTTAAAAAGGTATTCACTAGGTACAGCACAGCGACGAAGAATACTGATTTTCAGCACATGGGTACTAAAAGCTAATGCCATAAAACATGGTCACCTGAATACTGTAAACCTTCCGCGATAGAAGCCATAGAAGGCTAAAGGGAAGGTGGAAGGTCATCTACACAATATGCCACCTTTCCCAGGTTCTCGGGGGAAGATAAATACCCAGCCTCTATCCCCAAGTGCCTTTGTCACTTGCAGTTGCTCTCCATATCATCCTCCTTGTCACCATGAACAAACAAGTTCCCGAATGCCTCCGTCAGGTGATCGCCGCCCTCGACATCATCTTTCTCTTCATCTACCTCGCCGCCTCGCACCTCCCCTTCATCTACAGCTCATGGAACTACAAGAAGGGCATAATAATCAGGCGAGATATTTGGATAGCCACCACTGTCCTGGCCATATCGACGATTCGGATGGTGGGGATGATATGTTTCATCATGTACTATGTCCTGGGTGGGAGGAGTTCCGGTGTGTATAGCGTCAGTCTCGGCCTGAGAGTCATGCTCGCTTTGACAATTAGTCCCCTTGATGCTAGGGTGACGAGATGGGCCTTCAAGACGCTCAAATGGGTGAGGAGGAGGAAGGAATGCTTAGAGTCGGGGCCTCAGCAGCCTTCCACCAACACAGAGACTCATCAGCCTTCGGCCGACCCGGAGCCCATGGACCCCATCCCCCGAAGCCAGCAAGTACTTGTCGCCGTCAATCCCAACGGCGAACTCCTATCGGAAACAGACGGGAGTTCTCTTCATGTGTTCCTGGTCACCATGTACTGGACTGTCCTTATCGTCATCTTCATAGCAGCCACGGTCTGCTCCGGACTCGTCATGTCCAAATCACAACAGCACGATCTGTACAGGTTTCACGCCTCCATGATCTGGTTGCTGCCGCCCATATTTCTGATGTTCAACAGATGCTTCTCCTCCGCTGGACGTCCCAGTCCAGCGAACCCCAGCCTGGTGCGCCCTGATGGCTGGTACTCGTGGATGATAGGGACTATGGTGGGGGTCGAGATATTTCTATTCTCGTATGGCTTCAATTGCAAATTGAGAAAGGAGGCCATTACCGATATGACCGATTTCTGGACTCAGTTCGCAGGTGTAATGCTTGGTTGGGGTGGATGAGATTGAAGCCATCCAGCGTGGTAAAAAGGGACACCACAAGTTGACAACCACCAACACTCTATTCACATCGTCAACAGCTAACAGACAATTGATCAATTTAGACAAATCGCCAGCTGATCAAAAAGCAAAAAAAAAAGATGAGCTTGATCATTCGACCACGCCAGGATTCGAACCTTTGAACTGTTAGTATGGATGTTGCGAAGCTGTTGAAGTGAAGTGGAACTAACCTGGAATCTCTAGAGAGTTCGGGAGCTCAAGACCGAAATCTAGCGCCTTAGCCATTAGGCCACGCGGCCGGTTCTTGTTGAAGCTCGGCTTTCTTGTTGGCAGTTTCATGGTGGGAGGTGAGAGGTCACCAGGAGCATTCAATCCATGCCCCTTGCTTCATACCATCATTAATACAGTACATCCTTCTAAAAGGTGCTCTCAAGAGATGCTCAGCTATACACCCTACTCCACATTGACATTGAAGTGCAAAATGCCCACTCACTACGAGCTACATCAAGTTCAAGTCTCCAAGCATCAACACCACTACTAAGCTATGCGTCTACGCAAACCTTCTGGTCTAGTTGCTTCACTTGGTCCCTCCCCCTCCCACTCAAGCCGCCGTTTTCTAGAGTTGACCTGTTCCTGCTTGATTGATGAGAGCTTCTGCCCAAACTCATGAGAGTCAATCCCAAGGGATCGGGCGAACCAGTGCCAGCATTGTCTATATACCTCCCGACTATCACGAACCCGCTTCAGTACTCTGGCGAATATCCTGAGAATAAATGTGTCGTCCTTAAGCGGTCCTAGCGTCCCCCGCACAAAAGTCATGCGCCGCATGGAACTCCAGAGGCTGTGGGAAGCCCATTGGTACCCGTCCGGAGGCGGTCCGTCGACTCTTTCGAGGAACTTTGCCTCACTCAAGGCCGGGATGCGTTTGAGCGTGAGGCCCCAGATTCTCTCAAACATTGACCGTTGATGCGAATGTATGTGCGGCGCGATGAGGAGGAGATGGAACCAGAAAGGGACCTTGTAATTACCTGCGAGACGGACATAGGCTGTTGGATCTGCCCCATGGCGGAGCAACGTCTCCAAGATGCCGCTCTCCAGTGCGATACCAATCATATCTGTACGAGAAAGCGTTCCCAATTTGCGAGTATAGAACTCGACAAATCTAGTCCAAAAGGTGTCTTGGCCATATACCTCGTTCGGGTCGTGACCAGAATCGAGAAGAGTCTGCAGCAGCGGCGGGTTGATCTCGAGATTGACAGAAGCGCCGGATGATGGGCGAGGAGCCATGCCGAGAGCAAAACAAAGTGGCGAACGATACTTGTTTGCGTAAGAATTCCTGAGGTATCTGGGCATGGAGAGTTTGCTGTCCACGTAGTCGCCGATCCTGCCCTCGAGAAGAAGCAGACGATAGGCTCCCACTGCTATCGACTCATCTGAGCCTGGAATCTGACCTGTCCTAACCATTTTCGCTATCCCAAGTTCAGCATTATCGAGAAGAGCTGTTGTTGCAGCTTCTATGTTTCCACCCTCACCGCTCGCCAGGCGCGCGTATCGGGCCGCCTCGCGCAAGCTTTGGACAAAGTCGGGCACGTCCTCCATCAGATCAGGCTCTTTCTTGCCGGGGGAATTTTGGGTGAAAACAGTCCTCTTCAGCCAGGCAAGTCGGGCTCGAAGTAGCGAACGATGAGAGCAAAAGTCGGCCTTGGCTTTTTCCCGGAGAAACTTGGCCATCTCAGGGGTGCGTAAAAAGTCAAAGACAGTTCTGTGTAAGAAGACCATTGTGCCGTCTTGCCATTCCAAAAGACCTTTACACCTCCCGTTAATGCGACGAGAGACCGAGATAGACGCTTCCCGGCAGTTATTGTCGAGCCATTCGTGGTCAGCTGGATCGCGCAGCGCATAATCCTCATCGTCGTATTCATGATCGTGGAACATGAACATCTCGGTCGCCAGAGGCTCTTCTGCATCGCGGGCAATCATGAGAGTGCCCGCCATTTTCTCGTGGTAGAATGGGTCCACTGATCCTAGTATGTGTTTGAAGAATTCCTCCAGGTCGTCCGGGTAGCTCGATAGCCTTCTTCTCAGGTCTGAAAAGCTATCATCGTTGCTAAGGCCCTCACGCAGGAGCCGAGTGACCAAGAAAACCCACAGAAACACCCCCATGGATTTGTCGACAACTTCGTTGATCAGAGACTTTGACTCTGCAGCATTGGGGTCGCTAGAGACGAGACCCCATCGAGGATGTTCCTCAAGGCGAGCCTGGGTGTAATTAAGGATATCCTCCTGAGTGAGCTTATGGATGTATAGCTTAGACTCTCTAGAGGCGCCAAAGGCATCTTCAAACACATTCCACGGTCTACTAGACACGCAGACCTTGATGAAAGGTGACTCTGACAGTCCCTTGAGAGCCTGACAGATCTCGAGATGATCACCTGAGTACTCGTCTAGCCCGTCAATGAAGAAACACATGTGGACCGATAGATGCGTGTTGGCGACATCTCGCAGCGCGTCCTCGAGCTCGGAATGCGTCCAGGGAGGCTGCTTTGACGTTCTTGCCCACCGGGCCGGCAGTAGCTTTTGCATTAATTTTGGCTCCCCCTCTAGAATGTTGTGCAAAAGGGACCTCAGGAGCCCTTCCAGGGATCTCTGGATGGTTGTCCCGTAGATGGTGAAGAAGTGCTTGGCCAGCACGAGTTCTCCATGTCCAGCCCACTGTTTGAGACACTTTGGAGTCTCCTTATGGTCGGCGACAAACTTCATAAAGGTCGATTTACCGGATCCTGGCTTGCCCGAGACCCAGAAGAGATTAGAGTTCCTGCTCAGCCAGCGACGAAAAGAGCCCGACGGCCCTTGGCCCTCGCCTGGGTCATCTTGTCGCAATCCCCACGCAAATGTAGTCCTGTGGGCCTTGGAGATGTTGCCGTGCCGTTTCGGACGTTCTTCGTAGTCGAGAGAATTCAAGATATCCACGGTCTGCTGGCACTCTTGGGTGTCAATCGACAGACCCCTTAATTCCGAGCAAATGCTGTCAACGGCGCCTTCGGGTGTGTTTTCCTGACGATTGGGCGTTTTTATTTGTTGGCTGAGTGTATTGATTTGTTGGCTAATACTTTGCTGTATGTCCAGAAGCCTGTGATACCAGGCATCGGTTCTGGTTGTCCAGCCTGTGATGGTCAACTGGAGCCCTGAGATTTCGTTGCTCATCACCCGGACCCTCTCGCTATAGACCTGAGTAAGTGAGTATCGGGGTTTCCGGGGGTGACAAACTTGAGCATGTCGGATAGCATGAGGGACATGAGATGCTGGCGGTCTTCGATCCTCTTCTTCAAGTCTTGGATATCCCCTGCCTTCATCTTGTAAGACAGGGCAGCCGAGAAGCTCTTCCAGGGTTTCTGTGAGTTGCCCTTCTTGGCAGCTAGAACTCTCATGATGGCAAGTAATTCATCGCAGTCCTTTTTGCAAGCGGCAGCACAATCTTGGAGATCTGGCGGCGCACTCGAGCTTGAAGGTACTGACTGGAGTTGCGCGCTGAAGGAGTCAAACTTGCTGCAGATGTCTTGGACATGGAGGTCCCCGGGTGCGAGGCCCGACGCTGACGCGTAGATCTGGGATGTGTGCTTGAAGAGTCGGCCGACGAATTCAACGAACTGAAGGACATTTCCTACCAGGGCGACAGCTGCCAAGGCCTCCATGGATTGTGGTGTAGAAGGTGAGCATGTGAAGTTCAGACATGGCGGGGGAAGTCAGGGATATTTGAGGTGAAGCCTGGTCAGTCCCCATTGGGTGAAGTGCCTGCAGGCTGGGCAAAGTGCAACTTTTGTGGCTGAGCTCCTCCATATGTGAAAATTGCACTGCATTGGTAGGCAGGTACTGGGGGCTTGGTTAATAACTATAGGGCAGACACAATCGTTATCGCTAGTGTGCCTTTCAACCTTACAAGGCTGTCGAGAAACCAGTGTCTACGGCATCGCCATGGACGGCAAGGCCCGTAACAAATAAACAACGCACTAGATGAGTGCCCTTTTTGTTACTCGAGAAAGGGTTTCCATAAGTGTTTCTGGTCGGTGATCCATCCAGGAGGTCATCAACAGGCTCCAAGTCCAAAAATCGGGCCAAGATGAGTAGAACTCTTGCATAGCAAACCTTTTCGGCTAGACGCCCCAGATACGCCTTGGTGGTATTTTGATCACTCTCTTCTCGATTTCTCTTGTCTTACTATGTATCCAAGATCTGATCTAGCTGGCACCTTTACATGGTAGGAATACCCTCAAATTCCGCATAACCAAGCGCCAGGTTCATGTTCTCTGTAAATCCCATTAGTACCTAAATGAGTATGTTGATCAAAGAGATACTTACGCAAGCATTGAGTACTGGCTCCCTTGTTCAGGTTATCTATTGTGGAACAACTAGACACAGTTAGCACGATCAATCCTTCAAGAGGTTGCCAACCACTTACATGACCACACGCTTGCCAGTCTTATCAACGGCGAACCCTCCAATCTCAACGCCGTGCCGTCCCTGGATTGCTTTGACGAGCGGCGCCTCTCCGACGACCTTGACCAGCTTCTCACCGTCGTAGCGCTGCTGGAACAGCTCCCTGATGTCGCGGGAGGAGATCTGCTTGTTGAGCGGGATGTTGACAGTGTGGTGAATTCCTCTGTAGATGATGTTCAGCAAACCCTAATTAGCGAAAGAATAGAAATGCTAACCGGAACCAAGAAGCCACATGTGGGATAAAGGCGGCGGAGATACCGAGATGATGGTTGATCTCGCGTTCATGAATGTGACCAGTCAATGAGTAAGGGAGAAGATTATCGGTCAAGTTTTCGACATTGTTCCTTGGAGAAGGCTTGGTGCCGGCACCTGAGTATCCAGATACAGCAAAGACGGTAGGCTGGCCTCCAAGAAGGTCATTCTCGATGATGGGAGCAATGCTAAGCTGGGCAGCAGTAGCATAACAACCAGGCACAGAGATCCGGGTAGACTGAGCAATCTTGGACCGCTTGGTGATCTCAGGCAGACCGTAAGTCCAGGAGTCATCAAACCGATAGTCAGCGGAAATATCGACGACGACGCTCTTGTGGTTGCTGTTCTTCTGAGCCTGATCAATGGCCTCGATGTAAGGCTTGCAAGCAGAATTAGGAAGAGCCATGACCCAGCAGTCAATTTCCTTATCCAACTCAGCAATGTCCTCGGGTATCAAGCTCTCGTAGGTGAGCTTGCGCTTAGTGTATCCCTCGAGCTCTTGGCCGGCGAGCTCTCGGGAGGACACATGCCGAAGGTCCATGAATGGATGCTCATTGAAGAGATCAATCAAGGCCTGGCCGGTGTAGCCACGAGCACCAATCAATCCAATGCGGGATGGGGAATCATTCGAAGCATTCTTCTTGCCAAGAGGCGGGTTCGGGTTGGGGGTGGTGTACTGCCCCAACGACCTCGTAGATGAGAGGCAACGAGCTTGAGGATACTGGACGAGACGTCGGCTAGAGGCCTCAATTGGTCTCAACTGTCGAAAAGCTCGGCGGGCGCCGGCGCGCACTGCAATTGAGGGGGCAGACATGATGTTCTCAGGTCAAGGTAGGCCGATGGATGTTGTGGTGATGTCAATCAGGCCAGCGAGTGTCTCAGCGATTTCGCTTTGACCGTGGTGGTGTAAATATCACGTGACTGTTTTGAACTTGGTAGATGGCGCTCTAGACATTGCAATTAACATCAACTGACTCGGAAAAACAAGGCGCTATGGATTCATTGGGCGGAAAACAATGACTGCGTTGTTGGAGCAGTGGTCGGCTTCACTTAGGATTGAAGTACGGTTGCCAAATGTGGATTAAAGATGTGAATACTGGGGACCACTTACACGGGCCCAGGTCAGTATCAGACTTTGTTTCGAAACGTCCTCATGAATGATGGAGGATGAATACAGTTCGAGCGAGACTTTTCATCAGTAAATACCAAGATCACATTGTTTATGCGGAAATGTCATTGCTGGGCTTGTGGTTCTGACTCGCGGGGGGTTTTTACAAGAACACTCCTCGACCGTTGATCGAATAGACTCCTCAGGACTATAAAAGACCTCGCCATGCAGAGAACCGAGACACCATCTTCCCTATGTTCTGATTAGTGAGAAATGAAGGTGAATAACCTGGATGGATGCTTCTCACGGGATGTTGCATTACTATTACTGTCAAATCTAGTACCTACACAGGTGCGGAATTCGATAATAAACTCGTGCATATAACCAGAGATAAACATCCATCCTCCTCAACCACTCTACTGAGCCAAAGGCCCAACCAGTGTCACCTCGTCGATGTGCGAATACGCATTAGCACACTCAAACTTGAACAAGACCTTGGGGTTATCCCCAGCCTGCTCCTCCGTCCATCGACACGTCGTCGTCAGCTCCTGAAACCTTCCATCTGTAGTTGTAGCCGACGTATGACCCTCTGCCTGATTAAGTCCTCCCCACACACAGTAGATGTCAACACTGTCACATCCGTAGCCGCCGCCAAAGTTGTAGGCGAGATCGACATACGCCGAGAGATCGTATCCCGCGCCCGGCACGATTCGTGAGGCGTCGAGCGTGTTGAAGACGTAGTAGCTGGTCAGGGATCCTGTCGTGGAGAGGGCGAGAGACCAGCCTTGCACCTGGGTGTCCGGGTCGAGGCTGAGGCCGTCAGTGCCGCCGTTGAGGCCAGACGTCCAGGGGTCGATGGTGCGGCCGTCGTTGAAGTCGCCGTTGATGAGGATGTTGGTGATAATAGGCTCGGCGGATGAAGTAGTCGATGAGGCGGCTTGGGTGGTGGATGTAGCGAGTGTAGTGCTTTCGGTTGAGACGGTGATGACAGTAGAAGAGGACTCGATCGTCGAGGATGCAGACTCGGTAGTTGTAGTAGCAACCGTGGTACTGTCAGTCGAAACAGTCGCAACAGAAGACGTCTCAACAGTTGAAGACGAAGTTATATCCACGCTGGTGCTAGACTTTGGTCTACACAGCGCCGCCTCAGACCCAGCGACAAAGCTCAAAGCCGCAAACGCAGCAAACAACTTTTGCGAAACCATAGCGAAGGACTAAAGGTGAGTGAAGAGGAGAGAACTGAGGTGAATACGAGACTCCCCCAAGAATCGGCGAGGTCTGAACTTTTAAGCAGCCACTTGCGCATCACGATAGAGCTAGCGCAGGGTCATCGGAATCTAGCTTCACTCTAGACGCGCCGTCGATTACATGGCTCTTTTAAGAATGTTCGCCGAAATCTCGGCCGGTTGATGAGGCATGATGGTTGTAGGCATAGGCTCTGTGGTGTTTCCTGACCCTCGTCTCTGACTCTACTCCCTCAATGCCAAGATATTTGCCCAACGATAGAAGCAGGAGAAGCCAAAAACTTTGAGGCGTCCCTGTGAGTTCCATGGTTCTAGATCCAGGCACGGATACGCCCCTCCCGGCTTGGCCATTCAACTCCCCTGTCAGCTTTTCAATAGTTTAAAGAGTGGATATTCAGCTGGGCGGACTACTTAGTTTACCACGGGGGCTACCCCTGCTGGCTTCATCAGTGTCTTTTGTATATATGCCAACCATCTTGAAGTTGAAGAAAAATATCAAAGGAAAAGAGCTCTTTCTAGGTATTTGCTCAATGCTCGTATTAGCAAGCAACTGTGATTATATGGATAGCAAGTGCCAGCCAAGACACCACCAAGGTAAGGCTGCCTTGAGTGAATTTTTTATTCACATCTCTTTACCTCTTAAATAGTAATCTTAGGTTAAGAAAAGGGGATTAAAGGCGAAGAGCTTGACTGCTTATAAAGTCCCAAGGGTTTTGTTTAATGTTTGTTCTTTTGTTAAACCTTATATTAGATATACCAACCCATGAGCATGCAAGCAAAGGTCTATACCATGTTATCCATATCCCAATCAAAGTTGTCCAACTCCTGGGACCCAAAAGCGCCAAACAGCTCGTTATCCCCTGACGGATCCAGACTTCCACCAGCGCTCGCAGGCCCAAGTCCGAGGTCTGACGGAACTCCACCCATTCCGACATCGAGCATGTTGTCAACAGACATGCTGTCACCCTGTACACCCGATGCCGCAGCAGCCATCGCATCTCCCAGTGCCATGTCTGCCGTCTGAAGCATGGCTTGTGCCTCGGGCATGACCATCAGCATTTCGACCCTGCGGTGTAGACGAACCACAATCTCGGCCAGCGCCGCGTCCTTCTTCTGAAGCTTCTTACAGCCTTCTGCTTCGGCCTTCAACATCTCACGGAGCGTGCGCGGGCGCTGCAAAGTTGGAGGCATATTACCATTCACATCGAGCATGCCAACAGGAGCATCCTTGGCCGCATCGGGGGCGCAGATCAGCGATGTAGCAACGTCGTACACACTGTTGGCGTTTCCTGCCTCTGTCTGCTGCCTCACCTCATCCAAGATGATGTGCAACAGCCGCTTCGACCCAAGGAGCTTGAGGGCTGCGAGCATCTGGCGATGAGTATACGAGGTCGGCATGCTGTTGATCGCCGGGTGCATGCTCCAGTGCACGAGGCCTTGGATGTTGTGCTTGATGGCACTGGCAAGTCCATTTGTGGCTGTCGAAGTCCAGGACTCGAGTTCGTTGATGTCGGCACCTCCTGTCCTTCGAGACAACGGGATGCTGTCCTTGAGTGTCCGGAGAAGGGGCTCGATATCCTGGTTCTTTGGATCACGCCTCTGGTATGTCCTGAGGGCATGTTCGAGGGGCCTCGCGATGAGATTCTTGACGGACGACAGCATCGTACTGGCTTCTCCGGATATGCTGCTGGGCAGAAGGATAAGCTGAAGGACCTTGATGACGGACTTGGCCTCCTTCTGGTCGACCCAGAGATAATCTGACAAGAACCGGATAGCCGGCACAAGAGATGGCAATAAGAACGTATCTACCAGATCTGCGTTTTGGTGTTAGTTCCTTGAAAGTCATGAAGTAGTCCTCCAGAGTCATCTTCTCATCAGATATTCTTCCCAAGTTACTATTAAAGTACTCACATTCGACGCCCCCCTTTAGGCTCTCATCATTAAGATAGCCGTGCGCATAGGCAACCACAATGTTCTGGAACAACGTTGCCACCAACAGATAGAATTCTTGCGGCGGACAGGAAGACATCAATTCGTCGCCAAGACCGCCAGCTTCGGTGTCGAACAAACCATGGATCCATCCGCCTAGATGTCCATTTTCCTGTTCTGTCAGCTCGTTGCCTTGTCGTGCGATATGTCCACGTCCGATAATCTTGGCCACACATGAGTCTGGACCGATCGCCCCGGCATCTGTTGCCGTGAGGTTATATCGGTAGGCAAACGCCAAAACTAGCAGGAGAATGGAGCCGAATTCTTCGTAAACTGGTTGATACTCGCCTTGATCCTCTTCATACCGCCAGTTGTCGAGCAATTGGCACAAGGGCTCGAGGATTGTCGGCAACTTCTCAAATAGAAGAATCACATCTAATGATTGGGGTTTCGCTGCCAACTGACTGCACAGGAGCTTTAGAGACATGGTCTCTTTGCTATGGCAGTATTGTCGCAAAAGCTATGCCTGTTAGTCGACAAATGAATACGCGGCACGCGGCCAGAGTTGCTCACCTCGATGAGCGCCTGACAAACGGCGCCGACATTGCCGTCCATCTTGTCAAGCTCTAGAATCAAGCCTTGGATCTTGTCCATGTCAGACAAACAGTCCTGGACAAGTTTCTCTTTCGAGTATTTTTGCAATGACGGTTCATCCGACAGAGAAATCTCCCCGAGGATTCTTTCCACGTGGTCTCTCTGCACAAGACCATGAAGAACACATGAGGCGCAAAACTCCTCTCTGACACTTTCAGTATACGGATTGTTATTGCGAGACTCGTCAAACATGAGTGAGGCCGTCGGGAACAGGCTGGTGTCGACATGATGCAGTGCTTCCGTGATGCAAAACTCAGCAGACGTGCCCGGGAACTCGGGAGGGCAGAGTTGATATAGAAGTAGAGGAAGCTTGTTGATCAGGTATGAGCGCAAAAGGTGAGCATCTTTCTGTCCCTCATTACGAAACACAGCGTTGGCTAGTATATCGAACGATGCTAGGATCAGGTCAATCGCGCTTGATTGAACGTCTCCTTGGTACTTGTTGTTCATGTAAGAGAATAGAGCGTTGTCGTCCAGGATGGGGCGCCCAATAAGCTAAGACTTATTATTATTAAGGAAGCATTTTGAATGAGGCTCTTACTAACCGCAGCGTTGAGGTAGATATATAACCCTGCTCGGGTATTACTGATGGGGATTTCGGGTATCACAAAGTTTTCTAGTCCAACTGTAGAATCCAGAAGTTCATCCATGGCGGCATTAGCAACCTGCTTCTTCTTATCCGCAGGATCGAGACTCGCAAGGGTCTCGGTTCGGAAGAGCTCCAGTTTCTCGGTGAGCTCTGGCACAAGCTGCAGGGTTGGTACGAAGCTTGCTAGACTAGCAGCCAGTTCTTTTCGAGCATCTGTCACAGAGTCAGTGTTTGATCATCGAACCCTGCGTTGGATGTTAGGAACCTTTGGCGAATGGTTTGCTGACGGCCTTGACCAGTACGTCATTCTCACAAAGACGCAGAAGTAGCGCCACAAGGCCAGCTCGGGCCGACTCCATCTCATCTCTAATCTGGGGAGAATGCAGTTGCCCAAGCATGTCGGCGGCAAAGGCAGTAGACGCAGCCGTAAACAATGTCATGTACTTGGAAATGATCTTGACGACGTCCAACGCAATGGTGGAATCTGGGATAGCCCTGCCTTCCACTACCGCCTTAGTAAGGCTGTAGAAGATGGCTTCTTCGGCCCAGTACGAACTCTTCCAGTGTTTGATGTGTGGTGTCCTTGGCGGTTGCGCCGCCTCGTTCTTATCGTCGCCATCATTGGGCTGCTGCGCCTGGGCATGTGAAGACGAGTATTTATAGAGAGCCTGCAACACGGACGGTGTATCTATATAGCCCAATCGCGTGAGCGCTTGTAGATACGGAGGGATTCGAGGGTCGAGGCTGTTGTCGTTGGAAGGTTGCGGTCGCAAGAAGAAGTCGGCGATGACGGCGGGGGGTAGAGGATGTTCGGCGTAAACCTGCTGCACCAAGACCTCGAATCGATCCGTATCAACACGTCTAGCGATGCAGCGGGAAACAAATTTTTTCCAGAAATCGATGGTTGCGCGCAAGGCGCCCTGCGCAGCGGTGCGACTATCCATGTTGATGGTGGTGTTGATGTCGATCGATGATGGTTCAAGGAGGGAGGTCTGTTTATGAGCCGACAGAAGAAGGAAACCGATCCATGAGTCAGGCCTGCCCGGGCAAAGAGCGCTTGCTGCCTGTAGTATAAGTATACTTTGTCGTAAGGAGAGTTCGTTGTAGGTGGGAGCTTTGAAGCTTCAACTGCAGGCGCGAAGAGCCGGTCGGGTGGGACCTTGAACGTTGCGACCGTGACGCGGAATGGTTCCGCGTCAGACAGAGGGCATAATAGTTCTTTAAGGGTAGTCAAAGAGGGCTGCTGGAAACGAGAGAGTAATTAATAATAGATCTTAGATCATGTAAATAATTGGAATATTATTTTAGATCTCTTAAAGATTTTTGATAAATTGTAATACATATCTTTGGTTGGAGTCAGGCTCCCTTACTTTGACAGATAGAACACCACGGCCAACAGGTCATCATAGGAGATGGGATATAACAGCATGACGAAACAAAGAGAGGGCAAGGCAAGTTGCGATGCTACACTTCCTTAATGGCTTCCTCTTTGTAAGTGGACTGTTTGTAGTGGCTTAAGCGTCAATAGTCGGTCAACTGAAGCATCACCTCACCTCACAAACGGATATGGGCCGAATCAGCTTTGGTTCAAGTCACCTACAATATGAGACGAATGTCTTCCCCAGGCAGACGCAGACCTTCTCAATGTCTATAGTCACAGAGTGATACTTTTGACCAAATCTATGCTAGATGTTGTTTGTCACACCAGGCACGATCCCCTCGAGAATCTCCACCAGTTCATCCCACACCCTCTGTGTCAATTTCTCTCCTTCGTCACCCTGCATGATACGAGGAGGTTCATGTAGCTTGGCATCAAACATGAACCGCCCATGCGTGTCGTCTCCCGCAAACGCCGCGACGAGCAGGGTTCGTGACCCCATCTCAGCTGTCCGCGCAAACAAAGCGGTAAGCAGGTTAAAGATTAGGTTGAACGGGAACGGGAATCGCCTAAAGAGTTGCGTGCCGCAGAAGCCAGGGTGAAGGCAGTTGACGATGATGTGGCCTTTGCCTGATGCGTCGACAGCTTCAGCTAGCTTTGCTGTGATCATGACCTGCATCATCTTGGAGATGTTGTAACGCTCTAGCACGTCTGTCTTTGCATCTAGTGCTTTGAAGATGTTTTCTGACTCACGCTCCGGAAGAGGGCTCTTTCAAATTGTTAGCCAAAGAACCTGTTGAGTTGTTTAAAACACGTACCGCAGTGGCTGCATCGGATGACACGACGACAATATGGGGAACAAGATTGAACTTGGTCGCCGTGCGTCTCATGACAGGAAGCACCAGCATCGTGAGAAGAAATGTCGAAATGACATTTACGGTCAGCGTAGATTCATGACCCTCGATCATCTCGCGCGTAAATATGAGGAGACTGGCGTTGTCGACCAGTATATCCAGGCGATCCAACTTGTCGACACGCGCGGCAAACTCGCGCACGCTGTCGAATGACGCCATGTCGAGCTGCCAAACTTCAACAATGTCCTTCTTCCCCGTCGTTTCTTCAATGTCCTTCTTGGCTTCTTCGCCCTTGTCGAGGTTGCGACATCCCAGAATGACCTTTGCAGCGCCGAGGCGCACAAAGTGACGCGATGCTTCGCGACCAAGGCCTGATAGACAGTCAGCGTCAGTCTCGATTAGATGAATAAAGTGGCCAGGTTTTGATATTACCGCTATTCGCGCCCGTCACGACGACTATACTGCCCGAGCAGTCCCTTTCTGGGTAGGGCATGGTGATGAACCCACTCCAGGCCATGTTGTAGACGAGGGTATTCATGGTGGCTGGTGGACAGCTGTCGCGCGATTGAATAGTGCAAACAAGTCCGTTGATATAATCGAGACAGATTCAAGTTTGGGATGGCCACAATGAACGAAAGTCAAAGTGGTCTCTCAATCTGACAGTTCGATTGTAGCTTCCAAGTTATCGCTAACCCATGTCGTCCCAGCTCGGGTTGTGGGGTTCCCCAGATGTGTGTGCATCATGTCTCTAATTTGGTGATAGAACCATAAATATGCAACATATTAAAGATTCATTTATTAGAAAGGAAAAAAATCTAGAGGCAAAGCAAGAAACTGCAGAGCATGTGGGGGGATATAAATATTCCAACAACGCCGTCAAGTGCAATAAACACCAAAAAAGCCCTCTCACTTCTCAAATGTCACCGACATGGTCCTCTTACCCGCAGCCCAGCCACCGGCGTAGTCGGTGCCGAGGTACCGTCCCTTCATGAACCAGATCAGGAAGCTGAACAGCTTCATCGTGCCCATCTGGCCCGTGGCTCTGCTTCGTCCCAGAGTCAGGGCAAACATCTCCTTCTTGTTGACAGCGTACTCGGGAGCCACGCCTGACTCTAGGTAGGCGGGGAGAGCCTTGAGCATGTGCCTAGACTGGGCTTCGGCGTGCATCAGCTTGGGAACCTCGAGGTTTCCAGCGTCGCCCACGACAAAGATGTTCTTGTGACCCTCGACCTGGAGGCTTGTGGTCTGCTTGATGTAGTTGCGGCCGTCGAGAAGCTCCTTGGGCACGAATTCGGTGTTGGGGATGATACCCGTAGCAGGGAGATAGGCCTGCGCCGTGATGGTCTTTGTCTTGCCGTCCGAAGCACGGAGCTCAAGGACAATGTCGGAGGATCCAGGCGTGGGAGTTGCGCTTGCGACGGTCGTGTTGGGGATGAGCTTGACCTTGAGCTTCTCGAGCTCCTTCTGGGCCTGCTTGCGAACCGCATCGGTGGCAGGGGGCGCGAGAGGAAGGTTCTCGGAGTAGATGAAGATAACCTCCTTCTTACCGTGCTGGGAGTACTCAAAGCCAAGCTCACCAGCTGTCTCGGAGCCGGTCATGCCACCACCAGCGACAACAATGGTCTTGGCGTTGCTGATCTGGTTCTGGATCTGATGCAGCTTGTTCTTGGTCTCCTCGGTAGTTCCCAGGCTCTTCCAGATCATATCATCACGAGTCCTTGAGCCAGTGGCAATGACCAAAGTATGGTAGTTGACCTCACGAACAGCAGCAGTGCCATTGAGTTCAACACCAACAATGTTGGACGAAGGGTTCAGTGACACAGCCTTGCCCTGGATCCACTCAAACTTGTCGGAGGGATATTCCTTGAAGGTGGGCTCGAAAGGGATCAGAACCTTTTCGTCGGCGAGCTGGCCAGGGACGACGGCGCGGGGCATGGCGATGGGCCAGTGGAAGTGGGTGTTGGGGGAGATGACGACGATCTTGAGATCCTTTCGCTTGATTACATGGTTTACCATGGTCTGGCGGATGATGGGGAGGGCGGCAGGGCCAGCGCCGAGGACCACGATGGTCTTGACGTTGTCGGTCATTTTGAAGGTGGTGGTTTGGTCGAGTTTGGTGTGTAAGTCGTCGAGATGTAGCAGGAGTCGGAAAGTCGAAGATCCTGTGCCAATTAAATTGTGTGTGATTATAGATTATCGTCCTCAATTGAGTCTCGATGTAGACAAAATACTCGAGTTCTTGGACTTGTTTGCTGAGCTTGGTGAGTGAAGTGGATGTGAACGAGATGCTTCATTTGGGACCAGCAGCCTCTAAATACACAAGAACATCACAAACATTTCAATAAGAGACAGCGAGACCCACCGAAAAAAGACATTTGTCACCCATGGATTGCTTTCAAAGCGGCTCTCAAATCAATCATGCAAAATTAAACAAAGCCCCCCAGGCCGCGCGCCGACCGGCGACTTTACGCACACAGGGGGGGGACCACAAAGTTTGCCAGGGCTAGAAATCCACGATGTGGGAGAGGCATCTTTGTATTTCAGGCGGATGGATGTCTTAAGCATTCCCCCGTGTAGCCGCGCGCTGTGGCCATCGGGTCGGATCCCGCGCGGGAGATGTCATCGGCGTGGGCCAATCACGGCTCTTGACGCCGGCGTCCCCCCGCCCGGACCCTTTATGACAGCCGGCATTGGGGTCGGGTAGATTTGTACTCCCTAAGTTTGCGATATTCCAAGCGAGTAAGCAAACAAGCTGACATGCCTTGTCATACGTGAAATTTCTCTTGGCCGGCATTTGGGAACATGATCTGACTTGGGGGCGGAATGATAAGCTTCCTTTGCATCGGTATGTATTCCGTAGATTGGCGGGCAGTGTTTCTGCTGCAGCTCAAAGCCACATGCCATTTCCTTGAGAAAACTGCCCCGTATTCGGCTCCATCATTCAACATTGCCAAGTTCTTCCAAACTTTAATCAACGGCACATGCAGCAGATCAACAATATTGCAGCTCAACAGTAGCACCACCTCCAGAGACAAGTCATATCAGTCAGGTCTAGACCCTCCGACTATCGATTCCCTCGTTCAATTACTCTCCGGCGATTCGGAAAGCTCCAACAATCCGAGGAGCCCATCCCTTGCCCTGCCGCCACACCACCAATAAGCGACTTGGCAAACGAGATTAGACTGCCCAATTCGGGGGCCCAGAGTCGACTCCACCTAAAGATTAAGACTTTAATTTAATGTCAGAGAAACACCACAAAGAGGGTTCTATCTGGTGAATATACGAATAATGGGGGAGCTGGGCATTGCCATGTCAAAGAATTTCGAGATTTCAAGTGATGATATCCCGGTTGATGACAGACTGCGCTATTACTATCAACCCCCCGGTGAAGTCAGTTGAGATATCGTCAAGCTTACCAAGTCCACGTGATGCAATCCTGCTTGTGTTTGGCCTTGACCATTGGCATCGTCAAACACTACAGGTCAATTCTATGACCCTGATCACGTGTCATCACGGATAGTCTCTATCATGACACTCTCGCCCTGAAGACTCGCCCATTTGGCATTAAGCTGTGGGCTTTCTTATCTCACCAACCGATTCTTAACCCGGGAGCTGCTCATTCTTAAGTGCCATGATGAACTGCTCGCTTCCAAGCTCCGTAGAGGGATAGAAGTGTTCTTGTTCAGGGTATCTCACCTGCTAGATACGTCAG